TGATTTCCATCATCCGGAACATGGAAAGCACAGAGAGGAAACGTGTTAGGTAGGTAGTGTCTTTTTTTTTAGCTAGCGGTAAAGTATGTCTGTAGAGCGAAGCAAGGTATTCATACGACCTCAGAAATTTAATTTTTTCCGCGATAACGAAGACTGTTTTTTCATCTTTAATATTGAAGAGAATTAAATAAAATGTGCAAAGCCCTTATAAGTACAAACTCCTAATTCAGTATAATCTGTGGTCTCGAGGGAGGAATACTTGTGATTTAAATAACGTTTTTCTCTTTGTCCGCTCAGAACACAGCCCACGCTCATTAAGTGCAAATTCAATATCGACAAATCATCGTTTTACTGACTTTGCATTTTTGAGGTATGAAGTAACACTTGTGTTTCTTTGTGTCGTGAAATTGATATCGGTTGTTTTTCTTGAAAGACCCTGATATTAAACTAGTAATTACCTGGTAAGAGAATAAACCGCACTTTTCAGAATGAATATTTCTTCGACTCGACAAAAAATCCCGAACAAAAGAAAAAAAAAAAAACTAAGCGAAAACGTCCAGAAACAAATGGCTTATGTGAATTTAGTTTTAAATAGGATAAAATTATTGATGAAGGCAATTTATTCCAAACTGTCTTAAGGCTCATGCGATTTTATTTCCAGTGAAAAAAAAAGGTGTTTGGTAGGTAATTAGTTTCGTCCAAAATCTTTTGTTCACACGAGGGTACAGCACATATGGGAAAACGATGATAGGAACACAGTTAGCTTTAAGGTAAGCCACGAGATAATGGGCAAGTGAAGCTTTTAACCCGACGTTTGGGTTTTGTCATTAAAAGTTACCAATTTTATCTGTGTGTAGTTTTTGGACCTTAATTTCTTCCGCGCGTCTTAATTAAAAACGAACTGGCGCCCTTAGCTTTGTCCAACCTTTGTCGCTGGTTATCATTTTGTGTGAACTCTGTAATTTTTCTCAGCCTACTTCAGCAATTAAGGGGATTGGATTAACTTCAAACTAGTTAAAAAACATATATGTTTTTTTTTGTTTTATTGTTTTGGAAGGGACCTATATCAAAGTTGTTTTGAATGGCTGGCTTATTATAAGAGTTTGTTGACTGTTTTCCGATAAATGACACACCTGCGGTTTTCAATAGTGAGTTGCGCATTTCTTAAAATGGACCAGAAATTTAATATGTCTATAGAAATTAAATGACTCAGTGTCTGGTAAACATGGAAGGAGACTTATGAACAGCGAGTGTTATTTTGTTCCATTTTGAAACTTTTGTCGTAAAACTGATAGCAGATGTCGATGTAAATTGATCGGGCGTGCGAAAGTTTTCATTCGAATAAATTGAGCAAAAATAGTGAGAAGAAAGTACTGGGCGTTATCGGAAGATTTCAATTATGTCCTATTTATGTCTTTAGACGACACTGCCAGGTCTTGGTTAAAGGGAATCAGTGGGGTGGTGTCTCTGACAGTTGAGGGTTTCAAAAAAGATTATTTTGAAAATAGGCAGCTTAATTTTGGGACATTTGTTGTTTGACAGTAAATTGCTCCCAATTAAAATTAATCTCGAAAAAATTCGAGAAATTGAAAACACAAATTCATTTTTTTAATGAATTTCATAAGAGGACACCACAATTTCGCCGCCAAATTTTGGCACATTGTGGGATTAAAAACAAATTTTTCTTTTTTTAAGTTTTCAAAGACAAAATCAAAATTTTAGAGCAGGCTCCTATGAAACATCTCTCCTATGAAACATCTCCACTAGTACTCCAGAAGTATGTCGCCTGTTTCCTTTCATGTAGACTAATCAAACCATCACCAAGGCACCCAATATTTACGAAATGTAAGAAACGTAATTTGTAGGTACATAAGCAGAAGCCTTATGGAGAGAAAGTATATATATATATATATATATATCGTAAAGTTTTGCTTTTAGGCAATCGTGGCTATACTAAGAGTAAAACACGAACAGCAGAAATAAACATGTAAAAAGCATATGGCAATCTGCGGTCTTTCCTTACAGTTAGGTAACTGGGAAAGCCACAAAACTCTTTAACAAAAGGTTATATTTCAAATCGGCACTCTTAATCCCATAGGTATCAGGGAACGTTTTTCATTCTACTAATTTATTCGTGTTTTTCTCGTCACCATGTTCTCACCAATAGCGTAGCTCCGCTTTCTATATTTCAACCCACGCACAACCCACAATTCCTCCATTCGCTCTGACGAAGGGCTAACGCTCGAAACGTCAGCTTTTTAACTCTTTACAGTGGCCAATTTACAATTTCAACTTAGTTGATATAACCAAATTAGCCAAAGATCTGTTCGACAAACTACTTTGTCACAGGGGATATGCACATCTATTCCGTGTCAGAATTACGATAATATTATCTCTAAATTAGAACAAAATATCAAACTCACGTAGACCAGTGATATGACTTCGACTTTCCTTCCTTCAGATACTACGGACTTTGAATTATCAATCTGTAAAATTTTGGGAGGGCATTAGGTGGGAAGTAAGATACGTTGGTTTGAGTCGTTTGTATACAGTGGGCAATCATCAGCATCATCAGCATTAAAAGAGGGTCTCAATGAGTCATGGTTTTTACGGCAGCCGTTCAAATTTTTGTTCATATTACAACTAACGATTTCATTATTTCCCTTTCTATTAAAAGAAAAATAAATTACACTTTATGGAAAACGCTCATGGCGTTGCATTATCCCCATTTTTCTCTTTTTCCATAAGGCTGAACTTACAACTAAATACAGCTCCAAGCTTCAAATGATACAATCAAACGGCGAGGAAGTGCTGATCACAAATAAGTTCGCTTTTAACAATCCAGCGCTAGGAGCACAATTTTAACCAGTTAATCACTGCTGCCAGCAGGAAAAAAAAAAAAAAAAAAGAATCAAAATTTTTTTGTCGGAGAAATTTTCCTCTGGCTTGGGGAAAACACAAATAATTTTTCCTCAGAAAATCGTCATACACATTATCGCACAGAGTGTCTGTCTGTTTTCCTTTAATTTTTCTTTCAATAGGCCATAATGCGCAGTAGATCATCAACTTTTTCTTCCCACAGTGACTCAATGCTTTGAAACCACACGCTGGTCACTGACTCTTAATTAATAGCCTTTTTCAAACTGAGTGACTTCGATCGTTAGAAGCAAAGAAACCAACCGTCATATTTTGAGTGGATGTGACTCCGTTTCAGAAGTCTATCTCAACGGGCAGCTAGACTCTAAGAATTTGAATTTGCTTCTTGATCGCTTCGACTTCAGTTCTAATAGACTTCTAATTATAAATCAGACACAAAGATTTCAATTTTCTGCTCACGGTTCTCGATTTTAAGGATCGATCAACATGCTGCAGTGCGATCTATATACTTTTCACTTTGCTGTTTCAATTGTACGCATAAGTTGAAGTTCGTAAAAATGCATTTTCGGTTTATTTAAGGTAATAACTATTACTTCTGTTAATTGACTTTCTCAGCTAACCAAGTCAGATCGGTCCCTATGTATGAGATCTTTGGTGAACGGAGAAAAATTTACTGATTTTAATAAATTGAGGCACGAATTGAGGATGTAGTTAAAAGGGCTCCTTTACAACGTTTTAAATCGATTTGTAGTCTCATTCAGGGATCTTAAAAGGCTTCATTTATTGTCAGAATTACGGAAAGACAACAAGATCGTTCAGTTATAATCAGCGATCAACTGCTAGGCACACAAACTCCACGAACCGAGACGAAGTGGAGGTCCATTAAAACGCAAAATGAAACGAGATTTGGCTTTGATAAAAAGTGTTCTCGTTTGTTTCACAACAAAGGCACGCAGATTGCGAAGTTTCGACGCCACAGTGCCTGTCTATCATAATCTGTGAGGGGAATTAATCGTATCTTTTCAAATGCCTGTCGTAAGTTGTTTTGATTTCGCAGTGTTAATTCTTTTTATTTCTAAAAGAAATTATTCTAAATCCTGCATGTTTGCCATAATTGCACTTCACAGTGAGATTTCTTAGGTGGAACTATATATTTTAGTCTTTTCCAGTCACATCTTTGGGTGATAATTTTTAATCAATTTTCTTGTGTTTATTCAATCGATATCGTGTGTGGTGTCGATCGCTTAATTTTTTTCTTTTCAAAACAGGTGTAAGCCGTGCTCTCTCCTATTCAGTGATAATGGTCATTAAAATTATAAAACTTATGAAGTTACTCACCTTCTAGTTACCAAAATTATGGATCAAACAGATCTATATTTCAGCTGAAATCCGGCTTTGAAACTCTGTCCAAGCAGCTAATTGTGTCTGAAAATGCAAAATAGATGCTGGTTTCTAATAAAGATGTCAAGTAAATATCAAACAATTTATAGCCTGCCTTGAAGCATGCGCTTAAGCATAGGGAACTATGAAACATGCAAAATACTAATAATCACTAATTCATTGATATTGCTTTAAAACTTACATATTTTGGGTATTCTTTAGTCCTTGTCAAATACATTTATAAACGTAAGGCAAGCCCTGCGTTTTCAAGATTGGTTATTGAATGAAGTCGCTGCTGATGTACCCATTTGTTATGTAAACTGTATCAGTCATGCGCGGTGTGGTTGGCGCCTAATGCGTTTGTGGCGACTGGTTAATTTCGCGCCAAAAACCAATCACTCGATGAGTTCAAGCGTTTGTTATGTCTTAAAAAAACCATCTTATGTATTATAAATCCAGAGGCACGAACCCGAAATATATTCCTTACGGTTCACTTACAAATATTTAACCTTCGATTTCACTGAAAATTTTTCCAAAGTAGATTGGTAAATGTTTACCACTTACGCTAAGAATTCGTCGTATTTGAAAAATAAAATACATCTCTCGAGCATGAGGTCTGCCTAAGCCTTAAGGCCCTTTGAAAACAACTGCTTTGTCTGTAGTTACTCTGTTTGCGCTTGTGGGCTGGAATTAATTTTGTTTCACCCATTTCACTGGCTATTCCGGTCTATTTCGTGGTTGCACTGAACTTTGCAATACCATGGAAATTTCGTTGCACTACAAAAGGTTAGTTCTGAAGCATTGAATTTTTGAACCTGGTTATTTGTCATTGAGAAAACCTTCAATTAAAACGATGCAAATGAAAATTGCTTAACCTAAATAATCAACCTGTGAAGTTATTGGTGAAAAAGAAAACAAAACAACGTTTGAATAAACCATGCTTTGTTATTATCCCATTACAAGTACCACATCAATTATCGAATTGAGACAATTTTTCTTCTGTAATTTTAAGACCAACACGAATGATTTATTAGCATTATTTGCATTTATATTTTAGAGAAGACAGTTAAAAGAATCCTGCGTATGAAATTTCCAAAGATCGACATCATTGGCCACTAGAAGACGAGTTTTAGAATGTAGTGATGAAACGGCTTTTGTTTTGTTATCTGGAGTCATTCTTCTGGCGCCAAAGCATATCTGTTTCATGTGATTTTTAATTTTTGTTACGTAAATTGAATCGTTATATCTAATACCATGGTTAAATCATGTGGGGTGTTTAGACCAGTCGATGGTTGATTCGAAAATTTCCAGTTTCCTTGGAAATACAGATCGCTCAATTCTACAAGTCTAAGGATATGAATGTTATTTGTTTAGAGTTAGAGAGTCAGACGTACAAGAACAGGTGAATTTTAAAAGGTGAGTGAATTTTATACGCATTTGTCGTCTACCACAGCCTCAGACAATTTCTGATAATGAGGATCATTGGGAGTATGGAATAAGAACCTATAGCTGTCGAGAGTATTTCGGTCTTTGCTTTAAGAGAAATCATACAATGGAAAGGTGCTGAACTTATATCGATTAGTATGCTTTTCCGACAGAAGGAAGCAAAGTTTGCTTTCGTGACTTATAATTGATCGGGCTCGAACATCACCTGCCTCTGCAGTGCCGGGGTTAGCGAATGATTTACGAGAGAAAAAGAAAAACAACAACAAACAGGAAATCTATTCCGACAGACCACAATGTCAATTTGCTTATCAACAACTTGTTTCCGTAAGATCAAGAAAATTTTATTCCACATACTGTAATTTTCTTTCTTGTTCTTATAGTCAATTGCAATCTAAGAAGTTTTGATATCATACGACCAACTACAAAGTTAATGGCACTCTCGTGCAATATGAGACAGAAAGTAAACGCAGTAGATCGTTGTCTTTCAATATGCATAGATATCGTGACTGTTTCGTTAACAAGATAAAATAAGAATTTAAATAATGTTGAGAGAGTACCTTTGACAACATGGAACTGATCTATTTGCAAAATAAACGATCAAATAAATGTGTATTAAGTCATTTATTTTGATCCAGCAGTTATCTTAAATTCGTGTTCTGTTTGTAAAGTAATTCATTAAAGTTGATAAAAATAAATACTTACTTAAGTAAGCCATTGTATAACATGGGTAACATGGAGTATTCGAATCTATATTCAGTGCTATTAGCAATGTATATGGAAATGAAATATCTTTGATCAAGAACAGAAGGAAATATGTCTCTTATCTCTTTTTTTTTTTTAACGTCTAAAATACATGCGTAGGACTATATTATTTCCCCCGAGGTTGCATTAGAGCTGTAGAAAACAAGAGAAAAATCGTTAACTCTCAGATGTAACTCTAACGATATACGATCGTTCCATAACAAATGCTATAGTCATTGGGTTTACATGCAGTTTGACTAGCGAAAGCTATCCTCATATTGGAATAATACAGTTCTTAAAGCTAGCCTGACGTAACTCTGTATTTACGGCGTAATTAAGAAATCGTAAAATTTCCCACTCAGTGGTCCATAAAATTCAAAATAAGTCAACGTTATTAACCAAATACACTCTTACTAGATTTTTGCGGTGGCTGAGCATCAAAAGCAGCTAAGTAAGGTTGAGAAATGTTATATTCACAGGTCACCAGCATAGAAAAGGTCTGATTTTAAAACTTATTTGTACAGTATTCTCATGAAGTTTTCAAATTTTAGAGATACTGATGACCTTTGAGCCTTATGACTTCAATTCCCTTAGCAGCGACCGGCTGAAAGTTAGGTTAATTTGCTACGAAAGGAGAACGAGTCTGAGAATACCTTTGATCTTTAAGCTTATGGCCATGGTGCCCTGTCTTTCTCCTTTGTAATTCAACTCGGACGTTATAGAACTGTTTCAACGTCATTCTATTTACTTTGAATTCAGCCTGTTGTTGTCATGTTATCGTGAAGCACCTGAAAACTAAACTCGCTAGGGAGCCATCCAAGTCATACTTGAAAGGATTTATTTATTGCCTCATTTATACTGTTGTTATACTAGAAGCCTATAAAGGAAGACATGCTTATAATGGAAAGTCTTAAGTTCTTTTTTTATAGGATTACTATGCTCTTTTTAATTAAAATTGCGTTTGGTGGAGCTTGGTGTATTTGAGGAATCATTATGAACAGTGTCTGGAGTAGAAATAAAAGACGCGTATGTAGTTATTCATGGGCGAATTTTGATAAAACTCCATCGAGGAATTATTGTATTATTTCTATTTTGTATGTCAGTGTGTGAGATGGAAACGTCAATTGTAATTGATGATTTGTTTACCATAAGTCTCTAAAAACTTTTGACAACAATGGTTTTGTAAATCATTCGAAGGTTCTATGATTATTTTATCGTTCGTCGGCCTTGTTTCATGAGTAATTTTAATGTTCACGAGATTTCACTTGTTTCTTTTCATAAAATTGAATATAGGTGTTTATAGTTGGGAATTCTTGCCACACTGAACTAAACTATACCTTGCTTGTTTGCAAGCGCCGCACAAAAAGTTTACGAACAATACAATCTCCCTTGAGGCTTTCCCATCATCAAGTCTGTTTTAAACGCTTCCACTTAGACGCACGCTGTCATTGTTTAACAAAAGAGTTATTAAGTTTTCATATAAACAGTTGGATAATTTACAAGACCAACGTAAACTTTCAGTGAAGAATGGCGTGTGCGTGTGCGTGTGGAGTACCAGCGAAACTTATTGTAGAACATTCTACACGGAAGAAGTTGTGACGAAAAGATTTGTCTGAGAACTGAGTGTTTCTGGACTTTTCCAAGTAAGTTAGTAGTCGCTGGGACCTGACTTCCTTATTCAATTCACAGACACATGGTCTTTAACGTTCTCTCTCTCAAATAGCAAACATGTTATGAAGATCTGGACGGGCTCTAGTTTTGAAAGTACAAATGAATGTGGGGATCGATTCAGACAACGAACCAAAGAATTTAGATAGGATCCTAAGCATAACTAAGTACCTTTCTGAATAATTGAACTCTCCGGTAAAATTAAACACGAAAACTCAGAGCAGGACTTCATGGGCAGAATGTTATGATAACAATTAAGTGCAACGAAAATCTAGAATGTACTGCCGCCGTTGAGCTTTGAAATGCCTTTTACTCTCCCTTCAAATTCAGTAAAAAGTACCTTGCGTTATTGCATAACCTGCATTGCAGATACGATTACAAGTTGCATCACACATCTGCTGTAGTTTTGCTTGTTTGATTGCGCCTTTTATGGTAAACTATTTGTACTTTCCAATTTGCGTTGATTGGTTTTTAGCGACTATTTTAATTAAAGCGATTATACTTAAGTTGATGGATAATTGTCTTCGACCGAAAGGTTAGCCCGAAGTCTGTAACAGTTTGATGATTTAAAATGATATAAATGTCCTTATGTCGAGAATTCTTTTACTTTTTGCATGAAATCGAGAAATAACTGAATGTCACTTTAGGAATTTGATGAATAGCTCGTTTCGCAGGCTCAGCTTAATCATCAGTGTGCATTCGAAGTCATGTCTCTTTGCATTTGTTTGCATCTGGTCAGCCCAAACCAATTGAAATTACCACGTTTATAAACCGAGGTTTGAAAAAGAAAGAAGACAACAAATACCGGTTCTTGACATTATGATCTCGATCTACTTTTCCATTCATTTAAAAAAAGCTAAAACAGAGGTGTAGAATATAAATAAGACTTCCCATGACGCATACTTAATGGCGTTTGTCTCAGTTTAGCCGACGAAGGAAGAAGATGTCGACGTTAGGCTTTTTTACGCAGTAAAATACCCGCTAGAATTGCCGCCGTTGACTCTATTTCGATATTTGCATGATAATATCAGTATTTTTAGCAAAAAATAAATGGGTTACACAATTGCACTTAGAAGATTCATTCCTTACCCTAAACTTGGCGGAGACCACGCGATGTTCGTTAAGTCCTTACGAAACGTGATCTGTTACAATTTACCTCCTTGTTTCATGATAAATCGAGTAAAATACAAAAGAGCTAGCTTAAACACTTTTCCTTCAATGATTCCAAAGCTAATTTAGTTTTCGAAACCTGAATCGAGCTAACATGAGTTGGCGTATATCACCTTGACAGAGTGTGTATATATAGCGTAATCAAATATTGAAGGTTGCAAAAACATAAACTTTAGCCAATTATCTGTAGGAGTAAGCTAACACATTCACTCGAACCAAGGTCACCAGTTGTTACCAGGTTGAATAAAGTATGTCTTAAAGATATGAACAGATCTTTTAAGAAACGCTTCTTTACAAAACTTTTACAAGTTACAACAGCCAAAAAGATACATGCCTACTGGTTTTATGTTTGTAGCTGAAAATAGTTCATTAACCCTTTCAAGTTGAACAGAAGGTTTGCGAACTAGAATTCGCATAAATTCCCAAAACATTTTGCTACCGGGATAGATAGCTTCTTAAAGTCATTGGAGACAGGTCGATAAAATCCAAAGACCAAAAATGCAATAAATTTTGCACCTTGACTCCATAATAGAGTTGCTTTAACACTTACCCTGGCTATTGAAATGCTGGAAAACGAAGACCTCGAGAAAGGAGAGCAAATTTAATAAGCTTAGGAGAAATTTTTATCCATTTGAGATAACATCAACAAAAGAAGAGATTGTTTGTAATTTAGAATTGTAGGAAATGAAAACTAACATATCAGAATTAGTCTTATCCTGACTTGCTTACTTTTGGTTCATTTGTATCACTACTGTCGAGGATTGATTAAGTCTAAAATGAATTTGCTCGTCGTTCAACGAAATTTCTTATTTTCATCATATCATTTAATTTTTCATGTCCCTAAAAAACGATGGGAACTCACGCAGGGTCACAATACAACGATTTCAAAACAGAGATAAAGCTTTGTTATTAAAATCTCCCTGGACTATAATCTAGAAGTTTGCAGAAACGTCTGATTAATTTGGTCTAAAATCGCTTTTGGGCATAATTTCTGTAAATTTATCTGTCGTTATGAAATGGCAAAAAAAATGCAGTACTTTGGAGGTGGTTTTGTCAACATGAGCGGTATTGATATTTTCCAAAAGATTTTTAAGTAAAGTAGAGGGTCTCAGGAAACCAATGACCCCTTCATTTGGCATAGTTTAACTTTTACCAATACCTACGACTTTTTTAGCCTATTCCTCCTAGTAAGACTAGTCTTTCTTTAGACAGATTTAGAGCAATTATCAGTGTAGGATAAAGGACTTAGAAATTCTTTTTGGAACGTGAACTTAACATAAATCATGAGGAGTTATTATAAATGTTCAGGGTGTTGCTGCTCCTAGGAGTGTGGTGACCCCCCTTTTTACTGATTTTTGCGATTAGTGTCTGAATGTGAGCAACTGCGGAGTTACGCCTTTCATAACCCAAAAACAACTGATATCATGTAAGGGTGACTGTTGGGTAATGGGAGGGGTGGGTGCTCAGACATTGCCAGACATTCATCCAATGTTTGTGTTTGTCAAACCGTCCTTAGTTATGTTTCAGAAAAGCTTTGTCAAATATTGGATCATACACGTTAAGATAATGTAACATTTCGCTCACAAACTTTTTTCAAAATTTCATGCGACATTTCGTTTCGATATTGCGTTCCACTTGTTTTCCTTAACTCATGACACCCCAAAGAGTGAGTAGCATCTAATTCCTCGTCACAATATCAGCCCCCAATCACACATTAATGGCACAAGATCTAAGGACATGATCATCGTCTGAAGAAGCTCTTTCGGCGTAGTGTATACGATGATACTTTGTATCAGGACGCCTATATGAGCCTACTGTCGAACTGAAAAAGCATAGACTCGCTAGAGATATTTTTTCAAATTATGTGATCATTGAAAATTTCAGTGGCAATGATCGAAAAACAGAACTTATGTGATCTTCTTTTTGCATCATTCAGTTGTCGACTTTATGGCTCGAGAGCCTGAAGTTCACGGTATGAGTACCATCGGTAAATAATTGGCGTATTTCTACCTTGAGTAACATTTCCAATGCGTTGTCATTCATAAATCAGTCTTAAAAGTCTAGTTTTCCCCATCATTTTTCTCTAAGTTAATATTCGTCTAGATGATATCTGAAAATTTCTGGGAAAAAAAGTCGTTTGAAATGTGCTAATCTAGTGAGGAGTCAAATCCAACGGCCCACGTGTTTCTTGTCATTAAAATTAATGCCTGTGACATGCATTACTGATTCTCGCTGATGGCTATATTTTTCCACAATTTAATAAGAGCGAACACTAAGAGGTCTGTAATATCCAAAATGGAACGCATTTTGATAGTAGACTCAAGTTAAATTTCAATGACTTATGTAAATTATTTTTGAATAAGATTTGGGATCTTCTGAGCTAGATTCTCGATATAAATAAATGATGACAAACTGCATAATCTTACTCTCAGATCGTATACAAAACAACTTGTGTAATCCCTATCCATGGGGGATAACAGTGCTATATTATAATACATATATCTCGCGAGACTTCTTCTTACTGTGACCATATGGTCCGTTTACTTTAATTAAATCTTTTTAAACTATTTCTGCCGGTTGTAAACCAGTTCTGTCCATTTGTAAACGCTTGAGGATTTTTTTCAATTTGAGCGGGGCTTTCTGTAAACGTTTGTGGCTATCTCTACGAATAATTTATAACTGCATGTCACCCGGCTAAACAATCCGAAAATCTGTGGGAATGCAATCAGTTAGAGCTCGAGAAAACTAAATATCACAACAACAGAAGAACATTTTGTGTCCCCAGAATTGTCAGTGATCTTTAGACCTTTATGTATCTCTTTTAAGCGACAAATCATTTGACATTAAAACCTTTTTTTTTAAAAAAAAAAAAAACGTTTTAGCTATTAAAATCACCAGATGAAGCTAACATGAAACTGATAAATTTTTTGCGCTGTTCTTGGCGGCTTTGCTCTATGGTGTTTATGCTCTTTCACTAGTGAAGGTGTGTCGTTTGAAAGTTTTGTCGGATCACTGATCGTTATGGGTTTGGACGAACTCTGTCTGATACAAATTCTAGCCTTACCTCGATACTTCTCAAATCTTCGCTCACATATATTTTCTACTTGTCATGATCCTAATGGCGGAGTCACTTCTCAAATAATGGATTTTCCTTATTCGAAAGTTAATTCGAAAGCAAATCATTAATTACTCGATAATGAAGTAAGATATTTAGGTTTAAATAGATTTGCATAACTACCATTATAATTCCAGTGTGTTGGTATATCAGATTTTAAATATCTGATGGTATTCGAGACAAACTAAGTGATAAGGGATTCCAGCTTAAGTTTTTCAGTAACATCAGCGAAAGTTTGACCATTTGGCATGATATCAAAAGCATCTATTGTTGAAGGAGGGTTGAAAATAGCTATCTCGCAAAACGAAGAATTTCTCACCCATGGTTAGGATTTTTTCGTACCAGCTGGTGATCAGTGACATCTTATGTATGCACCGGCATAATATGATAAACGAAACATCTCGAATTCAGATTTCCGTTTGGCTATTACAAAAAGGGTTATACTGTAAAAATGAAAAAAGTGAAAAAGATCACGTCCTCTCGGTTTTGTAAAACCGAGAGGACAAACGGCTCTCCTGCTGTTTATCAGAAAATTTTTGAAGTGCATGGTCCACTTCCAATTTAGCAGAGATAAGGATTAGAAGAGATAAGTACAGAAAAAATATTCATCTATCAACAGAATATTAATTTTTTCCTTCTTGACTAGTTGCTAGCTGGAACGACTGTGCCGGCATCCATTTTTTCGTCGATCTTTGTGTTGAGAATATAGTAATGCATCAATACAAGTATTACTTTACTGATTGATCATTTTTTAGTTTCTCTATATTAGGACGTTAGTTTGTTTGTTTGGTTTTTCTTGAAATCTCCGGGAAGAAAGATAAATAAAACTGTGAGCCTGCGTATTAATTTGCGCTGATCTGATTTTCTTCCCTAAAAGGTAGTGGTCCAGTCTCGGTTTTCGTTTTAAAAGAAAAAATTTTCAGTTTTATATCATACTATGTGGACCTTCAAAAGAAGCTGATGCTAGAATTTGTTTCGAAGAGAAAGGCAACATCAGTAGCATTATTATATTTATTTTTTTTTCGCAAACGATTTTGAACCTTTTACTAGATTCATGACAGTATTTTTTGCAATAGGCATGTATAGTTTGTAATATTTACCATTATCTAGGGAAATAATAATTTGAAATCAATTTTGTTCTTCTGTTTTTTCTCTTATTGATCAGACTGAGCCATCCCTGACAAGACAAACATAACTTTTCCTCGTTTCGCAATAACAGGTACTTCCTTTTTATTAGATATGAGAGATGTTTAATTAAGTTAAGATAGCTATAGAAATTACGTAAACTATAATTTCTCGGTCTTTCCTTACACTTAGTAGCACGGAAAGCCATAAATCTCTTGAACAAAAGCTCATCTTTCAAACCGGCAGTCTAAATCCCACAGGGATCAACGAACGCTTTTCATTCCACTAATTTATTCGTGTTTCTCTCGTTGCCATGTTCCCACCAATAACGTAGCTCCAGTTTCTGCCTTTAAAAGCGTACACAACTCACAATTCCTCTATTCGCTCCGACGAAGGGCTAACGCTCGAAACGTCAGCTTTTGTAATCGTTACGGTGGCCAATTTACCATTTCAACTTTGTTGATATTTCCAAATTATTTCGTTACCCCCACCGACCCAGCCCCAAACAGTTTCTTTAGAAACTATTAGCCTTTATTCAGTTATAATTTCTCGGTTTGAATCTTTGCATCAAATAGAACATATAAGATGTAAAAAGCGTTCAAGGTTCTCTAAAAACTCGGATTTTTCCCCTGTTAGTTTCACGTCTTAGGGGGAGAATATTTTGGATATATCAACAAAGTTGAAGTGGTAAATTGGCCACCGTAACGATTACAAAAGCTGACGTTTCGAGCGTTAGCCCTTCGTCGGAGCGAATAGAGGAATTGTGGGTTGTGTGTGCTTTTAAAGGCAGAAAATGGAGCTACGTTATTGGTGGGAACATGGCAACGAGAAAAACAAGAATAAATGAGTGGAATGAAAAGCGTTCGTTGATCCCTGTGGGGGATCAAGTAGATGTACTAGAATAGATGTACTATTAATGCTGCCACGTTTGGTAAATTAATGATAATAACCTTAGCAATTTGTAATTTTTGTACCGACGGCCTGTCATCGATAAACGAGAAGGATAATCGCTGTTGCTGAGAATTCTTTTATCTCAACATTATATCACGAGTGGTTATAAATGATCTCTTACTGGAGACTTACGCTACTCGCATTTTTGTCACTCATAGATCCATTAAGTTTTGAATTTTTTAAACCCCCCACGCACTCAGAACTTTTTTTCGAGTTTGTCTTTGTCACTGAATGTCATAATTAGCCGGGGTTTCTTTAGCAAGCTGTTAGGTATAGATTTATTCCGAAGTATAGAAAGTATGTCTGAAGTATAAAGTATTTATCATAAAAAACTGGTTTTGTGCATTCCCTATCACGTTTCCCTTCTGGACAATCTCAGTCTTATACTCAAACGGTGCACCTACTGAGCGCTTGGTGAAGTTTAAGGGTATAAGAGTCCATTGTAAAATCAAAATTTGATTTACTTTATTATCAGCATGCCCTCCAGCGTGCATCATTAAACTGACAATTTAGAATCAAGTATTAGAATGTTCCTGATTTTCAGACAGGAGGGGTGAACGATAAGTGATAATCCCTAGAGAAGAATTCAGTCATCAGTAACGAAAATGATTTAAAGTCAAAATTACTCACCTGAATCCAAGGAAAGAATTCAATCAAGCTGGCATCGAAAAACCTGCGTTTCACAAAATTTTATGAAGGGAAAAATTTTATGGCAAAATAAATGCTGCATATATAGTGCAAGTTGCATGTTTACTCTTGTTGTATTCGTTAGTGCTTTGTGCATTCTTCATTTACTGGGATTTCCCGCTAGCATCGAATATAGCAATGCCGCTGGAAGCCACGCATAGCGAATAAACAAATACCCGGTGCATTCTAGTAAGTCATCACTATTTTACCTTTGAATCTTACTTCATGGGACGTTTTTATTTTTGGCCAAAACCATAACCGTAAGAGACTGAAGGGTTCAATCAACTTGACTGGCAACATACCAAGGTGAATCCCCTGGTAAACAAAATTGCATTTAGAAAAGAAAAGAAAAATTATTGAAAAGGCGTATTACACTCTTACTTGCTAATGAGGGGGTACTAACAAAAGGGCGAAAATCAGGAATACCTTCTTTCAGTTCCACATCGTTTTTAAGTACCAAATATCGGTCAGATAGCTAATATTTGCAATAAGAGTGACTATTCTGGCCAATTTTTTTCTCATAAAAGAGTACAACATTGGCTCAGTGACCAGTTTCCTGAAATCAACTTCCCGATTCGGCTTCCTTTGAAGACCCCCAGACAAAGCTTACCAATTAACATACTCATTAAGAATTCCCTATGTATGCCGTCCGCCTACCGCTTTTCTTTTCAAATTGTTTTTTTTTAACCGTTGTGTTGTGATTATAAGTTAAAGATGTTTAAATTTTTTAAGTGTAAATTACTTCACGGCTGAAAAGTACGAACTTCCTCTCTTCTTTTTTCTATTCATTTATTTATATATTTTTCAAGTTTGTCTCCAAGTTTCTGTTCACATGTACAATAGCTGTAGATTTAATTAAGCCAACCAAGTTTTATTTATGTTATGTATATATTTTTTCTACCATTCAGGAGAAAACCTTATAAATGAGCAAAAACAGTTGTTTAGGTTAAGGAAAATATTGAAATTTCAGCGCTACTCTTTGGTTTTCGATTTGATTTGTTGGGATTATTTCTCAAGTTCTCCCCACGATCATCCTGCCTTAAAGAATTTCGTTTTTAACGAATTTGTTAAACAGAGATAGTATTTAAGTGCTAATGCTAAAAACTACCCGATATTCCTTGCATGTAAGGAATGTATTTTCTTGATTCAACGTTAATTTTATGTATGGCTGCTTGGGGTGGAAATGCAAGTCCCAAGGACTTATAAAGGCCAAGTTTCAAAAAAAACACAAACTCTCTGGTCCTTAAGATTTTCCTTTTCTTTAGTTTGACGTACACATAAAAAAACTGATCCTTTTAAGTTGACCCTTTTCTTCTTAAAAAAAAAACATTTGATACATAAGCATCAAATAATTATTTTATCAGTTCTTAAAATGTAAGCGGTTTTTGACGGTCCAACACAATAGAAATAATCTACAAGGTTCTGCATGTCTGTTCATAGTTGTGGTATGTGAAATTTCTCAAGGTGTGAAAAGATTGATCTAAAAATAACCATGTAAATGGAGACAAGTATATTGAAAGTGAGCATTTCTAACTGACATGACTAACTGATTACTTCGTTGTTGCTGTTAGTTTTTGCTCTTTTGTTTTTCTTCAATTATAGAAAGGACATTTGTTGTTTATTTACGTATTTCTTTACTATGTTAAATGGCTGCTTCAATTGTACAAGCGAAATAAGGTTGTGGAGGTGTGAACTGTTTCATAAAGACAGAATATCTCTCAGCCAATCAACATTTTAAAATCAAAAAAAGGTTTTGTATTCCAGGAGGGGTGTTTTCCTTTACTGATGATGATGCAAAACATGTTTTCTCTACTAAGTGAAACGTTACTTAATAATAGTCATCTTCAAGCTTGTTTTTAAACTAAGTTATAATTTTGAGATTAATTTAAAAAAGAAAACAACATAAATTAACATGGCCTTCCTGGTGAATTTCTAATTTTTTTGTCCTGTCGATCGATGACGTGAAAACGAGTCAGGTACACTACCTAAGCAATTAGAAACTTCCTGAATTGTTGTGGGTGGTTGCTTTGGCTCTTGTAAAGCATAATTAACTCACTTGTATTCTTTTGCAATATAATGCCAAACTGAACACGCTGCCTAGCGAAGAAATTGTCGCATTATTACCTCTTAAGGAAATAGTGAGGTGTTTCCTTTTTTCAAAGAAATATTTGTATCAGTTATAGAGAGGTCACATCATGGTAGATTATAACTTAAGGCGAGTTAAATATAATTAAAAAAATATACCCTGTTTTCTATTTTCAATTTATTAAGATTAATCTTGTATGGAGCCGATATTCTACTGAATAAAATATGCCCTAAGTCATTTATGCCCAGGGGATATTTGCTTTTATTTCTACAGTTAAGAAGCCACCACTATTCATTCAAATCTTAAAGGGTAAATATTCTAACTGGGTGTTATTGACCAACTCAGCATGACACGAACATCAGTCAATTTCGTCTCTAATTAAGGGCTTAAAATACCAATGAATAGGCAAACAGAAAAGCTGCTCCATATTACATTAAATATTCTTTCTCAAATAAGTACTAAATGAAGAACAAGAAATTATTATCAAGTGATAGGAGATTAGAAGATTAGCTAAATACTGCATGAATTTCTTGAAGTCGAATTTTTCGTTGCCGTGCCCAAGAACCGAAATTTTTGGAAAAAAAATCCAGAAAAGAAATCGAATTGTGTGTAAATGGTGTGGCGTGAAGTATGTTTATAACACCGCTTTTATGATAATGATTCTGGGAACAGAGTCGGATAAAGGGAAGGAAGCTGGTTGTTATTAATTATTCACAATTTTTGGGTTTGCAGGCAGAATCAGTGTAAACTCCGTTCACTCCCGACACCATTTTGCATTCGCTTCACCTGCGGTTCAAGAGAAACGCTCAAGCTGACTTATCAGAGAACCTTAGAAATCAACGAACCATGATGGTGATACCAAACTCATTCATCTCTCTGTATTCAGTCTTGATTATCTTAGGTAAGGAGAAGCTTACTAGTTATTTCCAGTTTTGAAGAACAAATGCCTGTGAAACAAGTCATGAATGGCTGTCTCCTCTTATACCCCTCTTATGAGTACTCCCAAACTATGCAAATACTGAGTTACGTTAATCTTTTCCTTGAACTCCGATTTACAGGGAAAACTTTTCAATGGTGTAGCAAATCCCATTTTTTCACAAAAAAACTTATCTTTAAATATGATATTCAACAACGTTTATATGTTGCAAATAAGAAAACTGAACGAGCGCATCACCACAAGGATGCCAATACATACAAATATTTTGATTGTGGTTAATATCGTAATGCCAAACGAAGTGAAGATTTACTTTCCTTTTGTAGAATTATTGAAGGTTTACGTGCCTTTCATATGTTTTTGCCCGAAATTTCGAAAGGAAATTCAGACACGTTCTGCCCGCGATAGAAGTTTATTAGAATTTGTTTTGTAGCACTCAGTTCCTTTTGCTGAAGCGTTAAGATATTATCGATTCCATCTTCGACACATTACTATAATCACACAATGGCGACGTTGGTGGCAAATGACAGAAGCACGGAGTAAATGAAACAGTTTTATCCTTTTATATTGAGATGAAACCGATGACAGAGGGGTTTTGCGTAAATGAAAGTTGTTCTCAATCGGCTTGCAAGGTGTATCACGAATGATCCATCTTAAAAACACTGTTCGACAACCGGGTTTCTGAATTTTATTCTGCCAGACTTGTTACATCATGAATAATTGATTTCTGGAATGGATTGAAATTCAATTCAAAATATCCCTCAGTTGGTCGATCAAACAAAAGTTGAAGTATCGATTTGGCATTACTTCCGAATGTTTTGTAAACTTGATAACATGAAGAAAACGATAAAGAATATTTAATTTTTTTTCGTCTGGTAATGTAATCATTCTGGTGCTTTGAGGAAGCTCAACGACATTTTCGCAAGCTTCGTCTGTGGGGGTTCTATTTTGGCTAAAGTGGTACGGCCGTTGTCAAAATTTTATCAGTTAACTTCCTTATCGCAAAGACCCGAGTCGCTTTTATGAAATTGTTTCATAAAGCACCCTCTGCGAGATTGAAGTAGTTCGAATATAATTATTTTAGTCTTTGTTAAAGCACATTTTTCTTGTTTCTTGGTTCAAATATTGGCGATCAGGCACAATGAAAGGCACAGTATTGCTTGAATCCGGCAACTTTGCACCAAGCGTAGTGTTGTAATTCGAATATCTCATGAACCAGTTGCGAATACGTCCTTAGTGCGATATTAGATTTTGGTCGGTTCCAGTAGACATTTCCCGTGCCTTCTTTCCCGTTTGATTTGATTTGAATCGCGCTATCGAGAAACGCAAATATAAGTGAAAGTGGATAAAGGAGTTTAAATTGTTCAAACTATTTACGATCTTTATGATAATTCTCGGGAATGTTTCAAATTTTCAGATTTTATAATTCTTGTGCAAGTTTATAAATTGTCGAGGTGTCTCGTATCAAAAAAAAAACAAAAACAAAAAAAAAAACAAAAAACTGGTGGAGGAAAATCGCAATAAGCTCAATAATTCCTAGTCCTGAAAGGCAAAAGAAGCGAGAGTAATTCTGCTCAAAACTAAAAAGAATAGAACAAGGATATTTGCTTCTCTCAAAATGCTCTACGGAATCGTTTTTCCTAATGTCATATTATTTTTTTCAAACAAGGAAAAGGATTGTCAGAACAGGCTTTCAATGTTAGCGTGAACGAATCCAAGCCCATTATCAGTGATGGTAAGTGATACCCACCCGTAAGAGGTTATATCAGGAGACTAAGTCGATTGAAACCTTACGTAAGAGATACACGGCTAAGAGCACAGAAAGCTGGAGACAGATGTACGCTCTTTCTCCTCTCTTTGGGAAAGTAACAGTTTCTACGGCTTTCTAATTTTGGTGCAGAGATGTCATTGGAGTCCTATGTTACATTCTTATATATTTGCAGTACAGAAATATCGTTGTTTACTTGTTATTATCGCATTAAAGCTAAGAGAAACACTGCATTGTTCGTTTTGATGGGGTATACTATTTTCGTTGTTATTGATCAGAATTAGAAGAAGATGACGACGAAGCACGACTTGTGAGAGATCTATTCGACGGATACAACAAGAATGTGCGTCCAACAGAAGATAAGGAGTTGCCTATTGAAGTAAAATTTGGTATTGCATACACACAGATTGTTGACTTGGTATGTTTTTATTTTGATAGTATGATATTTTCAGAGCCTTTTGTTGCATTGAAAGTGTGTGGTATATCTGCCAGTCACCTTTGGTATCACGTGAACGCATGAATTGAATTTGCTACTGAGTGTTTCTCTAGGCTTTACGATATTCTTTCTCTACTTTCTGCACATTTCCATTTCCTCTGAAAAAAGTGGGCGAAGAGCAAATTTTTGGATGTCAAATCCAAGATTTTTGTTATTTTATTTTGGCTGTTGTTAAAAACTATTTTCATGCAACTGAAGACAGTTTTTATTTTCATAAGTCGCAAGCCACGATTTCTTTTGTTTTAAACGTAAACAGATTGAGAAAGATCAAGTGCTTGTAAGCAACATCTGGGTCAGAATGGTAAGTAACTATAAACCGAATGCAAATATGGCGTCCAATTTGAATTGCCATTGTTCTGGAATGATTAGCCTCTCACACATGTAATAATCCTTTTGTGTTTCCACGTGAAGACGAGGCTAGTCAGTCCAGAACAATGGCAATTGAAATTGGACGCCATATTTGCATTCGGTGTATTCTTGTACTCTGCATGAAAGCCGACAGATTAGTTTGCACAAATACATCTTACGTAGTCTTCCCCTTCCCCACTGTACCTTTCTATCTTAGGTAATTTCTCTATTACCATGAAAAACCAAACTATGAAAGTACTTAAAGCAAAGACAATTGAGGATCACCGTCTGTTTGTTTTTTTAATACTCCAACAAGTTACGTACATAGAGCATGTACTTGTTGTTATAACATTAATGAAGTCAAAAGTGCCCAACAGGTTCTTTGTTTTATTGAACACTAGGCATGGAACAATCATCTTTTAAAATGGAACGCTTCTGATTACGGAGGAATAAAAACAATTAACCTTAGTCCACATCTGGTCTGGCTTCCCGACATTGTCCTTCACAACAAGTAAGTCCCACTAAAATGATTAAATAGAAAGAAAATTTGAAAAGGGAATTAAAAAAGCCATCAATCCAGGCTTTACTTGTATGAATTTTCAAATAACCTAAAGAGGATCTTCTTCTTTTTATTTGTTTATTTTTTCAAGCAGAAAGTTTCCTTCATTTTGCAAAACATTGGCAAAACATTCCTGAGGGAGAATATAAAGGGTTGTTGGGGATTGCAAAGAATGAAGTCGATAGGGCAAATTTTTAATGAAGATAATCAAAACCCTTACATAACTAACTGCTTATGTATTATATTTAATTGGCCTTAAATTGAAGGCCATTTCGCTCCGAAACATAGCCAGTCTATTTATGTTACAAAGAGTGTGGCAAAGGTTCCTAATAACAACTTCCAGGGAAATACGGGGAGGGGGGAGGGGGGAAAGTTGTGATTTCAATTAGAAAACTACTGGCCCCGGTTGTTCGAAGGATGGATAACGCTATACACTGGATAAATCCCTATCCGGTGGATAGCGCAGTACGTTTTGGTAACACTTATCCGCTGGATAGCGATTTATCCGTTGGATAGCGTTATCCGCCCTTTGAACAACTGGGGCCAGGTCTTCATATTTTAGCTGCCATAAACCGTAGCGAATGAGCAGATAGAGCCTTAATTTAAGAAAACATTTTTCGTCAGCGCGGAGGAATTGCTTCCAAGTGGAACTCTATACCTCTTTAAAACCAAAGTGATCTTGACTTCAGAGGGATCATGTACGTGGTACGCCCCAACAATACTGCGCAGCGGTTGTAACATCGACATCACTTACTTCCCGTTTGACGACCAGATTTGTGAGCTTAAATTCGGTTCCTGGACATATCATGGACTTGAAGTGAACATCGTGCAAATGCGAGACGCAGCAGATCTCAATTTCTACATGAAGAGTTCCGAGTTTGAGCTCATCTCTGCCAAGGCTAAGAGAAACGTAGCCAAGTACAGGTAAAGTTTTTATCAAACGAAAGCCTCAAACTATTGATGACAAAGGTAGAAGTTTGAATCTGGATAAATTCTATCGGGGTGATAGCCCTCTGGGTTTTCTTGTTGCATGTAACCAGCTTACCTGTAGAGAGGAAGTATGATCGTTGATGCAAAACTATGATCAGTTAGCATGACACTCAGCATGATAAAATTGGATAGAATGGGTAAGTTTCCAAAGAAACTGTGGCTCTGCGTCGGTGGGTGTCTAACAAGATAAATTGGTGTTACAAACTTAGTTGATTAGGTGAATTGGCCACCGTAAAGGGTTTCTAAAGCGGACCTTTCGAGCGTCAGCCCTTCGTTCAGAACGAACCCAGTGAAACGTCCTTCGCTCTGACGAAGGGCTAACGTCCAAAATGTCAGCCGGCTTAAGAAACCCTCTACTGTGGCCGATTAACATTATCAACTCTGTCAGTTGATAAAAACGATCGATTTATCATGATAAAAGTGGTTTGGTCATCGACAAGGGTTTTGCATGTAGGAAGTGAAGACAGGCCAAAAGTGACTCAACGATCCTGGTTGACTCGTAAGTCTGATTCGAATTCGTTTCCGTTTCCAATTTCATAGCAATTCTTCTATATCTTTATTCCATAAAATCTAAGTCCTGTTTCTATTCAGCGTTAATTCGAAAAGATTTTTACAGCTCGTATCAAAGTCACGTCAATATCGCACTGATTGGGGTAATATCATAAGATAGGACATTAACGGATCGCGATAACCTCAACTGATGTTACGTAAAGAAACCAACTATGGGGTAAAGATCTTCAATATTTTCGGTGGTATACAATGTATTTCGGAGTTTGGGACCAAAATCAAAGAATTATATTTTGTTTGCAACAATTTTTCTAATGGAAGCTAATCTCATAGGCCACATACTTATTCAATTTCTCCGTTGACTTGTTGATAGTCTTACATCTCAGTTACCTCCTTCGTTGATTTAAGCTTGGAAAATGTATAAAACGGTGTTTTTAACTTTTGAGACTTCACCTGCACCTATTGCACTCATTAAAACCGGCACTTTGATTAGTCTATGGTGCTAGGAAAATTTTTATTTACATAAGTCGTGAATTTATAAGAACAATTCAAGTCGTATAAACAAAGCATGCAAGTTCACCGGGCACGTTGCACATGGCATCAAGATCCTACTGTAATATTGTGTTCTGTTACACGCAGCTGCTGTCCGGAGCCTTATCCAGATGTGACATTCTTCCTTCATCTTCGTCGTAAACCTGGATTTTTCCTCTACAATATCATCATTCCCTGCTTGGTGATAACCTCCCTAGCTGTACTGACATTTGTCCTGCCACCAGAGATCGGTGAGCGAGTGACTTTGGTAATTGAGTCATTCCTAGCTCTGTCATTCGTCGTTCTTATGGTTTCTGACAACGTTCCTGTTACCTCCGACAACGCTCCTCTCATCACAAAGTTTTTGATTATTTCCATGTGCCAAATAGGGGGCGCACTAATTGCAAACTGTATTTCACTAAACCTCTACAGAAAGTACCGGATGCCCCAATGGTTGAGAGTGGTGTTTCTCCACTACTTAGCCCGATGCTTGTGTATTAAATCGGGCCAACCGAAGGACAACATTGGACGACGTTCGCATCGTGCGCAAGGTCGACCAACAGAGGTGACAATTCTCGAGGCTAGAAAACTCTCGGGAACAAAACCCCTGGGATCACCAGGTGGGCACTCGTTACAGTCACCGACTCATAATCCCACGGCTCTCTTTCGATCAACTCAAGATCTTCATTCAAAGATTACAGATGGACTCGCGGAGCTGGCACAGTCTGAAATCCACCACGAAGAACATCGCGCAAACCGTCAATTCTGGATTTTTGTGTCACGAGTTGTGGACCGCGTTTTCTTGCTATTATTTTCCCTTGCGTTTGTCTGTTCTTCGTGTGCAATATTTGCTCAAGTGCCAGATCACTATAATTTACTCTTGTAGGATTGTAGCAAACCGCGATTGTGGTTTCCAGTGAGAGGACTAAGCAAGAAGCGTAGATTATGAGGTTAGAACTGATTCATCGATCTTTAATTTCTGTGAAATTGACAGTTCCTCTGAACGAGAAACAATGCACTGTATCATCGATTTATGACTAACGAGATCAGTTCTCGTCTTTTAATGAGAAAATTAATATGAATCTTGGAAATTGGCCTCGGAGTAATAAAACAATAGGAGAAATATGTAATCTTGCACGATTAGGTGCGTTCTGACTTAGGAGAAACTAAGATTCTTTGATTGTCGCGTTTAAGAAAACATTTTAAGCTCGCTGTGTTCTATTCCGAAAACATCATGAATAATAAATTCTTGCAATCGAAAAATAGAGGAATAATGTTATTTTGAAACCACTTACTGAACACATGCTTTTTTGCGTTGCTTGACCAGTGCCGCTTCATCTTGTGATACAGTAAATTGCATTAACCACTGATACATCAATCGCCAAGATAGGATTTGTATGAAATGAATCTTTCATAGACACAAGATTATTTAAGGTGGTCAGAAAAAATTTTACTAGTTTATCAGCTCCCACGTTCTTGAATCTCGAAATTTTTTGCTCTTCAAATCTTTTACTGAGTGTTGCAGGATTATCTACACTGTTCGTCAAAAACAACCGTCTATATGAGTGGATTAGATAATTTTTTTAATCATACCTAAAAAAAAGGGAAATAAAAGAAAATCAATCTCCAGGAGTATTTAATTTTTTTTATTATTTTTTATTAAAATAAATTTCAGATTCACAAGGAAACTTTCTACTTTTGCATCACCTTCATCATCATTTCAGTGTGGTGGTTATTGAATTTATGTCTGCTAGAAATAGACGAAGATTTAAATGAAAACATCTTGCCCCATCCATAGGTTAGTGGTGCGGAAATTTCTAAACAGTTTCTTAATTCTGTTATCGAAACATTAAATCTGCCAATTGCCTTCTAGAAAAAGTCAACACCATAAAATTTTAAACCCGACCTTGGGACAATATTTATCTACCGCTGGGTAAACATTTATACCACATTTTATATTCTGAGATTTTTATAGACCGCTTATACAATAACGAAATTATGGACTTTCAGGTACTTTTTGTGCTACTGTACATTTATTATCGTGCTAAAAAAAAAGAAACTCAGAACAGTACAGTTAAAACTAAAATATTCCTGTGAGATCTAGACACCCTCCAGCTCAATTACTTCCAAGTGTTTCAATTATTGATATCATGGAGTAAGTTTAAAAACTGTTGTTTGAAACGAAAGCTATTTTTCACAGATTGTTTTGTCATATCATTTGTTTCGTTTCAGTTCTGCTATTTCTTTCATTGCGATTTCTCTACTCTCAAATCAGTGACAGCAAATGCCGGGAAAGTTGACCCATAAATAATGAAATGAACACCACCAACGCAGCAAAAAAAAATTTGCCAGAATGATCAATATCCGCAAGTACTCGACTAAAGTAGTCAACAAACACTTTGAACTGACGAACTCGTGTAGCTTAACGAATAAGCGCTAATGCGAACCAATGACACTACCACAGATACTAAGAATAAATATGAGTTACTATGGATAAAGTTCTACGGCGAAACAGGTTTCGAAGGCGGACTTTCGAGTTATATTTCTTATCAATTTGGTTATGATCAAAGTCGTAAGGCATTTTAAAACAGATTGTTATGAGACGTTTGGTTTTGTTTGTTGTTGACTATAACATCATTAATTCATACGTTCAAAAAAATAATTTGAATTCTCCTTGGGTTTTCTGGGTCTCAGAGGAATCTTGTACCATCTCTGGCAATCAAGATTTGCGTAAAAACTTAAGACTTATCACGGTGATAACGCTTAAGTACATAAGTCTGTTCTTAGCAACGGATTTTGCTTCTTTTCTTCTAAATAAAACCAAACTGTGTAGGTTTAAAATCGATTTTTCTTTTGATTGAAACGTCGTAAATCCAAACGATAGCAAATGGAAAAAGAAATAGGGCGAACATGAGAAACGCGAAGGGAATAGTTTACTGGTCGAACTTTCCACCGTGAGGTTTTTCTTTTATCATTTTTACTCGTTCTTGTAACAAAACGTCCTTTGACTCGTCATTGGGAGTTTGGAGGCAACTTCAACGAATACCTTAAATTATTTACTTAGAAAGTAGAACTTTCCTTAGTAATTTAAGACACTGGACCGAGGATTTGTGCTTGTATCATGAATTGAATAAGAGACAACCACAAAAAGAACTGGACCTACCGTTTAAAGTGACTGGGTAATCGCAACATGCCACAGAGACTGATGAACATGGAAGGCGAAGTCCGCACCAAGACACGTGACCATCTAGTACAACTATTAGCCACAGGTACACAAACGGAAAACAGACACACGGCTTTCAAGGTACATGACTTTCCAAATCTACCAGCAACAGAAAGGTACGTTGACAGTTTCGGTTGACCAATACTAAGGTTCTGGCACGGCCTTTGATTCTGCTGAGACGGTAAACAAAAATGGGTTACGACTAAGATTTGGGTTCTTTGGTTTGAATTCAACCAACAAACTGTAATTGACGTCAATTTCTTGAGAACAAAATTGCAGTAAATATATCTCACTGGTGAAAAATCATCAAAGTTTACATGCAATAAGCGGGTAATAGAGACTTTGTGGGCATTGCCAGCATCTGTGTGGATTCGTGGGTTGACAGTTAACAGACTACCACTGTTTAAACATCTTATCAAGCATTCTTTTAAGAGTTGGGTGTCTCTTGTGCTTGTCTTTCATGTGTTATAAGTTTTTTTTTTAGGTTTAGAACGTAATACTTCGACTTAAAAACCATGAATATAACAGTCATGTCGAATCAAGATAAATTTATTCAACTGATGCCAATTGTTTGAAGAGGTCGATTCCTGCAACACACAACTGTCTTTTCAAACAATAAGTGTGCAGTATTTTTTTTCTTTTGTGGTGTTTCTTTATTGCCTGTTACCTAAAATTCTAAATTTTCCTTTTGCAGCTGCTGCCCAGAGCCCTATCCTGACATAACCTTCTACGTTCACATACGCCGTATACCTGGCTTCTTCCTCTTCAATATTATCATTCCTTGTATGGTGGTCACTTCCTTCTCCGTCCTGACCTTTGCATTTCCAGCGGAATTCGGCGAGCGAGTGACTCTTGTCATAGAGTCGTTCTTAGCCATGTCTGTTGTTATCCTGAATGTCTCAGACAGCATTCCAGTAACATCAGATGCTACGCCTATCATTGTAAAAATATTGCTGGCTGCAATGTTTCAGATTGGGGGCACCTTGGTTGCTAACTGCATATCCTTGAATAGTTACAAGAAGACGGAGATGCCACTGTGGGTTCGAGTGTTCTTTCTTCATTATCTGGCCAGGATGCTATGCATCAACACTGGACATCCAAAAGCTAACGTCAGGTCCACAAGACGAGTGGATGTCCAGGTATTATGCTGTGAATTCTGTTATCTCCCTGAGGGCTCTTAACTGTCCTTAACTGGTGATATTTGCACGACGGAAATACAGCCAAAGTAAGACACCGATGGTATTATTATTTCTTCTGAAATACACCTCGTCCTAGCTGTCGAGCTTATATCTTTTACATCCAATTTCATGATTTAGAAGTATAATGACTAACTATTGATTTTTTCGTCTTGAAACTTGAAGTTTGCTTACGGTTTGAAGAAATTCAGTCAGAGTGGCACGAAACAGTATGCATTGGTTCACTAGCTAGCTGGTTTATTAGCGGCAACTGATACAAATTTTCTAATTGCAAAGTTCAACCATAGAGGGTGTGTCAATAAAAATTTTCCTACTCAGTTTTTTAAAGTGTTTCATAAAATCGTTAAGTTCTGTTGAGACCAACCGATCAAATGATGAAACAATCTATAAAAAAATTGTGACTTGATGATAATTCTAGTGGCTGATCTCAAATGTTCCCTTTCTCTTTCTTAATTTCATTTCAAGGTGGACGAATTTGAAAGCAATTGCATCAAGCTGGTGGGAGCAAAACCATATAAACCATTAAATTTGACACCGAGCAAGCTGCCTGCTGCAATCACTAAACCTCCAAGTACCCTGACAAAAATAACGGACGGAATAAGTGAGCTTGCAAGGAGGTCTATGAAAGAGGAAGACGCTGAACTAGACAAAGACTTCTGGATCTTTGTATCTAAGATTGCTGATCGACTCTTCCTAATAATTTTCTCCATAGTTCTTTTTTCCTCGACCGGTGCTATTTTGGCGCAAATACCAATATACGCAAATTCCCCATTTCAATAATGTGAGATTGAGTCAGGTAAAGGTTTACTAAAACAAGACTCTAAATTAGGTTAGGCAAACATCACCCCATGGTGTAATTGTCTTATCATGGCGTTAATCTTGGAATAATGATCAGTTGTGAATTTTTATGAGTCCAGGTAACTCAATGGTGTTTAAAGAGAAACTATCGGAAGTAAAGTAATTACCTTTTATGTTACCCTGTTTCCTTCATCAAAAGTAACCTGTAACATCAGTGGTCAGATCATTTGATAAACTTTGTGAATCCTTAGTTAAAACTAACATTCAGTTTGAATTGCTTGTAATTTTGGGGAACTGTGTAAGAAAATAACGTAAGAAACCTCATTTGCAGAGATTTACGCTTTTTAAAGTTTCCTATCGGTGAAATTGGCGATAATAACTGATGAACAAACTAATTTATTTAAAACAATTAAAGTGGTAAAAAGAAAAAAAAAAACGCACGACGCATTCAACGAACTAGATCGATGTCCTGCCAGTTACGGTTGAGTGAACTGGTGTTTAAAATACAGTTTACTCCACTTTCTCCAAAATGTGAGCAGTAGAGGAGTAAGGGCGAATTTGCAAAATAATAATAATAATAATAATAATAATAATAATAATAATCGTCACTGCTAATCGCCGTCGCAAAGTACAGCAACGACGCAGCTCAACAAGGTCGAACTGAAAGCTTACTCTGGCAGCCACTATACGGTCCATGTGTGGCCTTGGAGCACAGCTTACAGCCGGCTGGAATCAGCTGTATGTTGGCTTTTGGTGAGGGAGGAAATCCGGAGAACCCGGAGGTAAACCCTCGAAGCAGAGAAGAGAACCAAGACAAACTCAACCCACTTATGCCGTCGGGCCCTGGAATCGAACCCGGACCACATTAGTGGAAGGCGAGTGCTCTCACCAGTACGCCATCCCTGCTTCCCTAGAAAACTAAAACTACATTAAAAAACTAAAAACTACATTCAGATGAAAATTCTTTCTTATTGTTTTTTTATAAATTCCAGCCATGTATTTCCACGTATTAACAACAAACATCTTAGAGAAGTTCAGTCTTTATTAAGCTGTGAAGTTTGAAAATAGCTACATAAATGATTGACCACTAAACGGCGCATTTAATTTTTATGGAAAAAGTTTCTTTTCAGAAACTTTTCAGTCGGTCGACAATTTCATGGACACGAGAAAGGTCTCTGAGCTAAGGCTGAACGAGTAATTTAGGGTATGCATATCTCAGTAATGCATATGCGGTTTGTGGTGGTTGGATTTTGATCCAACATTTTTGGGATAAAGCTCTGATTGCAATCCTTTTTTATGGTCGGATAAGATACTCTACCATCCTTTCATTGACTTCTCAGTTGAGTCCAACTATACTTGAAATCCACGAGTCGAAAAGATTCGTAACATGCCTGTTAAGAGTAACGAAAATAGAATCACGGGGCGGGTATCGTTAAGAGGTTATAAATCACTCATTTGTTGATCCTAAGGAAATTACATGTACGACTCACGGCGACAAGGCAATTTTATGGATCCGAGGGATAATGATTTAATTTTTTTGAAATCTTTCTCAGATGAAAAAAAAAAAAAAAAATGATGAACAAACTATATATGATATTGTTTCAAATTTGGAGTTTGAGAGATAAATCAGTTCGGATGTATTGCATCACGATGTTTCTCACTTGCTTTGTCCACTTGGATGTTCGGTGCTCAGTTTCAGTTATTCCATATACAGGTGGCAATTTTGTTTTAGTTCGTGGTTTTCCGACAGAGTTCAACCTGTTAAAAGCACTTCCCATTCTGGTGGCACGGCTGAGTGTTACAAGGGTCACAGCCCTACAAAACAGTTACCTTGTTCTAGTCATTAGGGTTCCAGCCTCCGAACCTATCAGTTCGTAGAAAGATTGCGGCGTTTTGTTTTTCAAATCGACTCTATTAATTTTGTAAAATTTTATATTGAAGTACCGAGGCTCACTAAACCCGTCATGTTGTTTTTATTATGGAGCTTCTTTATTACTTATTGGGTTTCAACCTCAGCAGGTAAGCTTAGTGTTAATTCTTTATCCATGCCCCATGTAATTATGTAGCACCAGATATACCTTTTTGATGGGCTTATATTTGACAACTAAACTGAATCATATAAAAATCTAAATTTATTGGATCAATGCCGGAAACTCAACTCTAATTGGCTGAAAACCATGGGCGAAATTTAAACGGTGTACTTATGTTCAGTTTCTGCTCTGGTCAGGATCGGAAACCAATGGATCATTCGATATGTTTAGAAATGAGCGTTAGGTGAGATTTGTAAAGACAAGTAGGTTATCGCTCAGTGTAATAAAGATCACATTGACGCATTTAATTCGCGTTACATGGTCGTGTTTCTACCTGTTCTCTGCTTCATTAGCTTCGAAGAATTCCAAGAAAGAAACCAAATGGCTGTCAAACAAAATGAGCGTGGCAATTGATAGGATACTGAAAATGAAGGAACGGGAGCAAAGTATTTTGAGGATTTCTAAAGCATAAAATAGCTGGAGCTTTCATGAAGATTTTCGAGTAAGTGCAAAGTTTTCATGTCAATTAAGCTTAAGCCGGAGAGAAGAAAGAAATAAGAAATAAGAAATAAGAAAGAAATAGTCTAGAAATTACGACGAAAACGACGATAACGGTGACCATTCATTAATTACATTGTTTTACTTTAGATTTAGTCCGAAGAAAGGTTGCTCCTCGGCCTCTGCTTGGGAAAAGAGACTCCAGAACCCAGACTATCAGTACGGCTCCGAGTAAGAATTATTTCATCTTTACCTATTCATTCCGATAAATACTTATGTCTAGGGGTGCGTGTGAAAGAGTTTATCAAATTTTTCATAGCTGAACAGTTCCTCACTCGCAGAAAAGAAAACTCACTTCAACTCTTCTTTAAATGGTGCACAGGACACCAATCGCAGCAAATAACAAAATAACCTCACACCATTTGGATCATTGGTTTACATAATGGAAAAGAAACGACCGTCTTCATTCAAAATGTCACTCATGGGTGCAAAGCCTGAATGACTGGCAAACGCGAAACCATCACACAAAACGTAAACTGTGCAAGTGATAATACAATCATAGGGAATATGAAGAAAACTTTGGGCGAATTCACGCACGCAAGGCTGCAAATAACTAATGGGCAGTCGCCGGTCACTTTGTCCGGTCAAACATGCTTTTGCTCGGACACTACCCGTTTTTGGCCGGTCAAACTTAAACAGTCCGAACTCTTGCGATAGTGAACCCTGATTGCACAGTAATCCTTTTTCAACTAAAAAACAACTGAATCCAAGTCGGTCTGACAATAAAAATTACAAGTCAATAATTTTACTACTCTTTACTGCAGAAGCATTGAGCACGTGAAACGGTTACGCAAGATACAACCGCAATTGTCCGTTTAACTTTACATCTGGCAAAATCACTTATAATTAAATATTACACTCAGAGCCCTTTTTTTAAAGTTACATTTGTGAATTTTTGTTAGAGTAAAAGAGTGGTCGGATTCTCCACGTTTGGGCCTTTTGCTCGCTTTTTGCACTTTGCAACAAATGCTACTTGGAGTATTCTCGATGCAACAAGATTATTCTTCGTGAGGGTGCTTTCCGATCATTCAATCGATCAAACAATCAATCACTTTATTTAAGAGTAAATGATGGTATCTAACCAAAGGTAAAACCCTCTACTAACTGAGAACACTTAAATAAAGTAAATAAAATAACGGAAGACACGATGATATGCAATCGCGACAGGACTTGATGACATCGCGAAAATTTGCGACTGCCGGGAATTTCTCGACCACTAATTTGTCTACTTTTAAATTGGTTTTATTTTTCTTTTGGAAACATGACTGTGTCCCTTATGATTGGCAAACAGTTGAAAATTAAAATTTCTTTGAACGAGTCGGTAAAGGACGGGACAAGATCTCCGGCAAACCAAGGATTTGTCCGGTCAGTATCCAATTTTGACCGGACATTGTCCGTTGACCGGCCGTTATTTGCAGCCCTGCGCACGCTGGCACAACATTGTGTCTTTCCATCGTCATTCAAACATGACGCATGTACGATCTTGATATCAATGTTTTTATGTTTCAGTTACCATCCATGTCCCTACTCTTCTAAAAGGTCAGGACGGTCAAGAAACTGCTCCAGCCGCCATAGCTTCAGAGGCACCTGAGGGCGCATATTTGCTTCCTGTAACTGAACAGAATAAAGACCAACGCCCAGCGATAAATCTACTGCTCAACCTTAAGCTTGTCATGGATGGAGGTATCGTGCTGTCTGAACTGCTACCTTTAACGCACATCTGAAGTGTACCAATCGAACTTGATTTAAAAGAGATTTAGGAATACCAATTCTTCTCTCGATCACTTAATAAGGAAACTATCAGAAAACTCACACAGCTCTCTGAATACAAGGAAAAAAACCAGATATGTTCAGACATATCTATCACAAAAATAGAGCCTGAAACTGAACAATCATAAAAACAATTATATACAAACGAAAATCAACATGGAATTATTTAAGATTTTTTTGAGATATTACTCTTTCCGAAGTCAATGAATACCAAAACTCTAACTCTGTAGCACTCGCAGGCAAAAATGTCTTTTTCCCCAAAATGAAGAACATTTACCTCACCCCTCTAAATGGCGATTAAGTGAATTTGTAATAAGAGTCCAGCAATGAAGGAAGAGAGCCAATTTTTAAGTGGAAATGGGAAATGTATGCCAAGTAGAACTGTTGTAGAGCACGAGGAGTGACTTGCTCTATCGGTCTGGCATAGCTGGGCCAGGAAACAAAGAGAAATAGAATGTCAAGCGGTTTCATGTCCAACTGACCACACGTGTGAAAGTTTGGACTACAGAAAAATTATAATCTTAAGTTAGAAGACGTTTTCAGAGCGGTCTCCTGTGGTGGATAACCTTGACTTGAATTTTTTTCACAACCATCATCTTTCCCAGAGAAAAAGCCTGATCAATCAGAAGCCGTAACTCTAGTGACCGAACAAACGGCAGCACAATCACCAGCCATCAAAGCGAATTCTGGTGAGTACGTGGCTCATGAAGTCAAACTCGTGAGCCCAAATGTGAATCTTGATCCAGGTACTACTCCAGCTTCATCCACCGGAATTCAGGAAGGAATAGTACAAGGGGATAGTCCTCCTGTAGCGAGTTCACAACGGACCGGTCCTAACGGGATCCAACAATCTACTAGGAACTATGGCGTCGTCCCTTCCTTTCTCATCGTCCCTAAAAGGCGCGTGTTACACAACGTACGATCTAATCTGAAGACTAATGTACCAGGTAGGTTGACACTAAGCGGGATTATATACAGAGTGTTGACTGGCTACTGCCGTGGCTTCGAACAAAGTAAGCGTGCATATTGCCATTCCTTCTGGACGGGCAGGCTACCTTCCCTTACCCGCCTTCCTGAAGACGTAAATACGTTACTACACACGAATTCACAGTCATAGTGTGAACTAAGTTCGTAGACAACTTTTATTCGTGTTTCTTCCAGGGATACCTATGGCCAGGTTCAGACAACAATTCCTCTTCGAACACAATAAAAAGCGCCTGCTCCATGGAGTGCCACCACTGACTGAAGACGGGCGGCTTGACACGGAAGCTCAGAATTTTGCATTGGAACTGGCGAAGCAGAGAAATACAACGCATTCTCTGTTGAAAAACAGGGTAGGACAAGGAGAGAACATTGCTCTTCGTTGCTCATTTAAAGGTTAGAATTTTTCTATTACTAGTGTTGTCAAAGCGACCTTTACAAGCATGTGTGCAGGATGAATTACAATTTCCTTCGAGCCATTTGTCCACTGAGATTATTTACGATAAACTTTCGATCCGGCGTTCATTAGATTGATTAAAAAATCGTGTTCAAGTAATATACTTCACGGTATTTCTACCTATCTGACCAAATTCCACTTTCATGCAGCGATGTAAAGTGCCGCACCGGTGGCTTCTAATAACCTTCTAATAATTCTCCTCTGCTGTTCACCTAGGCTCACCTTTGACAGGAGCGCGAGCGACTAATCTTTGGTATGATGAGAGTAAAACTTTTGAGAGGAAAAAGAAACCAAATACTTCTGCGATAGAACGGTTTACTCAAATGGTTTGGAAGAATACCAATAAAGTTGGTTTTGGTAGAGCACAGTTCATCGACAATAGTGAGTCATCAGTTATTTTACTTGATAAAAGCTATTTTAAGCCAGCTCAGGTTCACATACTCGCAAAAGATCGCAGGTGATCGCACGACCGCTGAAACCCCTCAACCGAAGACCGCGAATCGCATGTTGACATATGATCGCAACCGATCGCAGCGATCAGTGATAACCGAGTCCGCGATTTACCATTCAACGGCAAAACAATGTAACTACAGTCAACCAACATGTACTCCGCGGACGCTGAAATTTTAATAGGTGTTAACATTCTGCTTCTGATCGTCCGNTGCTCCCAGTTGGCTTGTTAACTCAATTGGTAGAGCGCTGCACTAGTATCGCAGAGGTCAGTGGTTCGAATCCCCTACAGGCATGAATTTTTTCAGGTCTGATTTTCACTATTGCTTAAATAATGCTCTTTACTGCGAGGATCGTGCACAAATACCTTCCATCTTGTCAAAACACACGCACGTGTAAAAGTTGATAAACAACTGGTTGTCATGGTATCATGCCGCTTGCAGTGCTGCACGCTGGGAAAATATGGCATTATGGGACACATTACACTTCAATGATCGCAGAACTTTGTTCACATGTGATCGCACTCGATCGCAGACAATCGCAACCGATCGCATGAATAGAACATGATTCTATTCCCGCGATCGCACTTAATTGCGCACGATCGTAGAGCTGTTCATGACATATAATCGCAGACGATCACTGGTGATTGATTGCGATCGCCTGCGATCATATGTGAACCAGGCTTTAGCTATGAGGGGAGGAGTGGCAGGGGGAGGGCTTAGTCTAGTTTGAAGGGCAGACATTAAGAGACCTTTCGTGGAATGATAACGAAAAGGGTACCTGGTATTGGATTGAAGTGTCTGCGTGCTTTTCTGAAGTACTTGTAAATCTGCATTCTTGTTTACTAACAGGAGGGAGGATATGCTTCGTAGTTGTCGCTCGCTATGAGCCTTCAGTGAACGTTGGCGAAACGTTGTTGGATAACAAGCTGGAGCCCATTAAAGTGAAACCAAACCACCACACTGGTATTTAACAATCAACACTGCTACTAACTCAGAGAAGAATTCATTATATTACCAAAATAAAACCAATCTCCGACCATAAGTCAGAAGACTTTATCGTTGGCAAACTTTTATTTGGAGTTAATTCCTGGGTGCTTTTTACACATAAATCCAAATATATGACTTATACTTGTGATCTATATTAATTTGGGTTAAGAAATATCAGAAATATTGTTTAAACTGTTCGGGTGCTCGCGTCACTCCATTTTAATTAATGAAAGCTCCATACGGATATATTTTTTCGTTTGAATATAAAGACTGCTGATATTTCATTGTAAAGAAAAATAGAGAAAATATAAAAAAAGAATGAAAAAAAGAATAAAAACAGAAATGGAATAAAAACGAAATTAAACGCTTTTCCGAGACAGTCATCATCTTACGAGACTTTCAAAAAATGGGCCCTTTGTGATATTCTTGTGAGACGCTCGATCGTTGTTACCATGACAACTGAATCGAACATTTTTAAATGAACTGCTTAAACGAATTGCAGGTTATCTTTGCCGCTTATGATAAGCGCTAACAAATTTTCAGTGATCATAATCTCTTCCGCCTGAGTTATTGTCAAAAAAAACCCTGGGTTTGTCGCTGTCATAACTTTTTCTTATCAAAATTGACCATAGTTGTAATTTTACATTAGGGATTACAAATCTAATCAGAATCGCTTCAGTAAGATGCATCAGCAAAAACCATGGATAAAATAAATCTTGAATTTCCGTACAAAGCTTGCTAACACATTGAATAATAAATTTCTATCCTTAGTAATCAAATCACTTAGATCAGAATGCGTTTTTGACAAACAATTTTTTTCTTGTAATTATCTCAAGGCTTAGTGTCATGTGAATTCATTAAGCCTATGGCCTCGTAATAACTAAATATACATTTTTGTTTTTCGTCTTCCTTAATGTCGTTTTGAGGTTTATTTTACCTGAGTATTGTTATATACATTTTTTTGACGATCAGAAGTATTTGCGATATTTCATCTTTGAATATATTGATATTAGCTTGCGTTTTGAGATTTATTTTACCTCGAGTATTGTTACATACATTTTTTTGACGATGAGAAGTATCTGCGATATTTCATCTTTGAATTTATTGATATTAGCTTGTTACAATAATCCCCTTGCCGATGGCATGGTTTGTGTTTTGATATTTGTAGAAACTTTATTTGTTTTTGGACGCCTGAGTCTTAGTTTTATTTGGAAGGCAACATTAACAGCCTCTGTCGTTGGTGACATGCAAGAAACGACAGATCCGTAGAAAATAACAGCCGGATCTTAAACTGCAACGTTTGGCAATGGATGGAAGCAAAATATAATAATTTTCTTTGTTAATCCACTACTATGACTGGAAGACTACGAAGCTACAATTTGATCTGATAGACAAAACGCGCATTTCTCTGATAGATAAGAGTGTCTTAATTAACTTTTTGGTTTTATTCAGATGTAAAAATTAAATGCATTTGAGGAAAAGTGCGCATCGAGGAAAAAAGCCCCAAGCAAACCTTAATAGTTATTATCCGGATCTGCGCCTAATTATAATTTTTATTGTCAATTGAGAACCTTCTTTATTTAAACCTTTATGTCGTGGGCTGTAGCTTTTGAACGTCCACTTCAATTCTGAGTTATTTCTTGGAGACTCTTTGCATTGTCTACTCTGACATGTACTTTTCCAGTAGCTAGTTGGTTAAGAAAATAGTTGCTTATAAATTGTTTGGAACTGGTGGTCAATTAAAATTAACGACATTTTTTTACTATAATCCACCTCATGAAGAAAGCGAATCTAAAATGACTTTAGAGTAGATTTTCATCTGCTGTTGTTCAATCAGTATAACACTTCTAGTATTAATAAAGGAGCAGACTGTAACAACGTTTTGCAACCCACTATTCCTCCTTATTTTTATTCTAGGAAAATAAAAAATATAGCTCAATGCCCCACCTGCCGTTATACATCCAAATCACATTTTACTGTTTAATCCTACCATATTTAATTTTCGCCTAGGTGTCAAAAACGTCTATCAAGCTAGGACGGAAAATAAACGCTTTCTTCAAATTAATTTCTTTCCACCTTTGCTTTGTAATAAATCAGTTTTAAAAATTCACCAGAATGTTTGATGAATTAACGACGGATACGAGTAAAAATTGATTTCTTGCGATGGAAAATTGCAATCGCAAATCATATTTTTTAGTTTTAATTTATCCTTCGAGCGCGCAGGTGTCGTGTGTAGCATTAAAGAGATTACCGGCACAAAGAAGAGAAATCGAACTGTGGTTTTGAGCTAAGGATTCACTCAGTCTTAGGTAAGTCTGGCAAATCGAAGATATTGTTGTAAAAGCGAATGGAAGAGTCCTTTTAAGAACGGGAGTCCTCAAACGAACGAAGAATTTTAATCGTCATTTCGGCGGCTAAAGACACACGTTCATTGCAAAGTACACAAGAATTGTATACTCATCAATCAACTCTAGGACAGGAAGACAGGCTTTTTAAACTCTTAACGCTGCTGAAAGAGAGATTTCTTCTTTTCAATATTACCCTGTAAAGGTTGAGACCACGCCATTCTTAAGGTGATCAACGCAGGATTCACAACGGAACGCTTCTGGCTAGAGCTTTTAAGGAATTTATTGTAGACGTCTCAACGAATCAGCTGCCGCTTTTTGCCATAGATTTGCGTTTATTACAAGGACAGGAGCACATAAATTTGTATGAATTGATAAATATTTCTTCAAAGAATAGTTCGGACAGCAACAGTTACATTACTTGTGATGGTAATCTTCAGCTAACATGACGAACATTACATCCAGCAACTCGACTACAGGAGAAGCGGAGACTGTAAAAGCGCTCAAAGCATTGTGTTACTGTGTAATCATGCTCATGTCGCTGGTTGGAAACACTTTGGTGATTATTATTATCTGCCGAAACAGCAGAATGCGGACCATGACAAACAACCTCATCGCCAACATGGCCATCAGTGATTTGCTGTTTCCGCTTTTCGCTGTTCCGAAGGAAATAGCGCAGATCTTTATCGGCAAATCGCGATGGCTTGTTGTTGGCGTCGGAGGTGAAATATTATGCAAGATGGTCAATTTTTCGCAAGACATCTCCACAGCGGTCTCGATACTTAGCTTGGTTGTTATAGCCTTCGATCGATTCCACGCAGTGAAATTTCCGTTCAAACCCGCTGTGATCACACCCAAAATTTGCCGCATGATAATTTGCTTCATCTGGGTTGTTGCAGTAGGCCTCCACTCGCCGTACTTTTACACTTTCAAACTAAAAGTAGTAGGGAACGATACATATTGCATGAACGTATGGGAACCGGCCTTTGAGACGGCCTCCACTCAAAAAGTTTACTTTTTGATTATTTTCTTGGTGTTAATATCTTTTCCCATTACGGTGATCACTATATTGTACACAGCCATCGGAATTGAAGTTTGGAAGCAGAAAGGACCCACGGAATACTCGCGAGAGCGACAAAGGCGTGAACAAGAAAACAGAAGAGTGTTAAAACAAGTTGTAACAGTGGTCGTTGTATTCGTCTCGTGTATCACACCTGTCACGATATTTGGCTGCCTTTTCCATTTCGTCTGGAACTTAACAATACCGCCTGGAATAGATGGGATCAACTTTCGTTTCTATGCAACATTTATAATGCATTCTAACGCAGCTATCAGCCCTTGTATATATTTCATCTTCAACAAAAACTATCGGAGGGGACTTAGCGAAATATTCGAAAGCTGCGCGCGAATTTTTACTGGTCTTGACAAGCCACCATTGGAGGACGCAAGTTCTACCAAGCCGAGATACAATTCCAAGATTGAATGCGTTGCAAAGAAAAGGTCGCCTAGATGTCAATATATCTAACCTAAAAATTTAAAAGACGTTTTTGAGATGGGAATGAGGGCCATGAAAGTGGCTGCATGTGAATTTGAAACCGGTATTTGCGAGATCCTTCTCTAGTGCTCCTTCCATTGTCATCTAACTAAATAGCTCCCTAAAGACCATATCCGTTTGCACTCCATAGTGTCTACTTGATCATTTAATAGAGAAAGGCCCATTAACTCAAATTCATGGTAAGCTATAAATCGCGAAGACTTGAAACGCTTATTGTACTCGCATAAAATGCTAACAACTTGGTTCCGACGAAAAAAAGAGAAAAAAATAGTTAGTAATCCGATCTCTTGCAGACACGGATAATTTTTAATCTACGAGGAATATTTTCATCTTGAGCGCATTTGTGATTCGAAGGTTTGTATCGATGTAATGAGCAGCCTTTAAAATGAAACGCTATTTAACCTCGACAGCACTTGTTCAAGTCAGGAACTGTAATTTATTCATGCTAACTAAATTTTGCTTCATTAAGAGACCCCAATCTTACTTCAATTTAGTAATAAGCGCAAGCCGCCGTTCATAAGTAGTAATAAACTCATTCCTTTTTAATGGACTAAAGAGTTACGGCGCAATAGTGATGTTGACAGAAAAGAAAGAAAACAGTGGAAAATACTAATTTACCGAGGATAAATTGTAATGGAAATTTCTGGCTAAATGCAATGTCTGAAGACGAGCAGGTGTAATTTGATCCCGTGCAACCTCTTCTGACTGCTTCCCCGTAGAGTAGTAGTGGTACTGGGGACGAGGGGGGGTGGGGGTAGGGGAGAATAGTGCAGAGGAAGGGTGGTTAACATGGTTAAGGTCGGGAGAGGACTGGATTAATTATTCATGCGCATGCTCTTTAGGTCGCCCCCTCCCGAAAAAGACAGCTGGGTAAATAGTTTAAGAGAAACGGCCGATTAACAAGCTGAATTTTTTTTTTTTTTTTAACAAATGAAGAAAGCTGTCATCAAATTGAGCTCGGAGCAAAATTAAAATGGATCCCTAAGCAGGATTTAAAAGTAGGACTCCACCAATCGGATTTGATGTTTCGATGCCACTGCAAGCCGGTCCATTGCAGGGATGTCCCTAATGCTTTAAACCATACATGCTTACTAGTCTCATATGTGACAAGAAGAATTGATTATTGAAAACAAATTTAACAGATTTTAAGGATATTTCTTTTTTCCGTGGAAGGTCACAAATAACCGCAACCTCCTCTCAGAATGCATTTAATATAAATAATGTTTTTGGTGTTTTTCATCTTCTGATTTTGCATTTCATTCACTGTTCATAGAGGTTCGAGTCACGGCCGGTAGAAAAATAATGTGGTATTTCCCCAGTTTACGCTTTCAAGCATTACGAGAGAAGTGCACGCAATCGCTTCCGAATTATCGCATTGACTAAAAGGTGAAAAAGTAATAATCATCAAAGTTGCATTGAAATTTTTTGTATATATATTGATCTAAAATGACAGGTTTATTTGTGGTAGACTTGTTAAGATGCCGCTTGTCACATTTTAAATTCTATATTTACCTCCACACTGTAAAAGTAATTGGAGTTTTCATTGTAAGGACGCCGAAACTAATTGCTACTATTTATTGTACGTTTATCATTATTTGTTGAAGATTCATTAATGGACGCTGTGTGATTATCTTTAGTTCCTTTTAAAGGCCAATTCCTAGAGTAACGGTTAAAAACCCGTCATCGTGCTTCATCAGCAACACTTTGGTCCCGAATGAACGTAATTTTATGTCGCATTCGTCATATGTTTTTGAAAGATTATAAACGAATAAAGAAATGCCGGATGATCAACGAGAACGCAATTCAAGCGCTTTTACACGAGTGATTTGCAGTGTTCGGAGCTTATTTTTGTCGGTCCTGTTGTCTCTTGCGAATAAAGTGGGAAAACATCTTGGTGTTTTCTACGATCTCTATACAATTTTTCGTTGAATGACCAGCTATCCCTCGAGTCCACGGGTTCGCACCATTGAAATAGCAGCTGACGACACGTGATAAGCAAATCTTTCGTACCAGACCGGTAGTCTTGGTTAAATATAAAGTAGAAGCAAGGATTTAACGCACTTATTGCATGGGGAAAGAATAATGAAACATAATAAATATCCCTTGGTAAGCCGCAATTACGAAATTCCTCGTTGTCATCAATTAGAAAGTAAGCCACGTGATCTGGGAGCCAACAAATTGCGAAACAAACCAAAATGGCAATAAACATTTTCAATGATTTTCGTCTGCTTTTAGAGAGAATTCGTTTTGTCTTGGATGAATGATTTCCAACAACTTTCCTCTTCCAAATTTTGCGAATGACGCAACCATACAACACAGATGCTACGACCAATGGTAGAATGTAGAAGAGAACAAAAAGAATTATGGTATAATACTTTGGAGACTTAAGGGAATTGAACGGGGCAGGCCATTCTTCAACGCAAAGCAGAAATCCTTCTTCCTCTACTACATTGTTCACTAAAAACATCGGAGCACACGATAAACTTGGTATCAACCACGTACTTGCGATAATAATTGTAGACAATTTGCGAGTCAGTAATTTCTTCAGTGAAAAGCAAATAGAACAAAATCTGTCCAATGCTATGGCTAATAAGCTGAGAGCAGAACAGAAAGCGCAAACTTGCTGACAGAAGGGTAGAAGTTTACACAACGCTACCCCAATGTGACCAGCAATCCATTTGTCTGTATCTTTTATCTCCGCATAAAGAGATTCTGGCATGTTGATGAATGTGGTGAAAATATCTGCGATGGCCATGTTCACGACAAAAGTGAAGGTCATCTTCTTCAACCTTTGATTCCTGCGAGTGACGATTATTACAAGAAGATTTCCAAACAAAGACGTTGCTATTATTACAGCGAATCCTGTTACTTTTGCTGCTCTCATTAATAGTCCCTCTTCTGTAAGTGGAGGACAGTAGTCATAGAAAAGAGGTTCAGTGAGGTCGTGTGAAAATGAGTTGTTTGTTGCGTTTGAACTGCGATTCATGGCGTAAGCAACGTTATGGCTTATCTCCTTGAAGCGAGCATAAGCATTAAAATGACACGAAAAGCTTCGTGATAAAGACATATATGAGCCAGCTGATCTTCTTTTATATTTACATGACTTTAAAATGGGGATTACGGCTATTCATGTATTCTATAGGTGATTGATGATTTATTTTAAAATCCCCAAATGGAAAACAAATCGCTGTTTTACATTAAGAGAAAATGGAACTCCAAATCCCCTCACGTCCCAAATAGGGCCACTACAGAAGCTGTCTAAAGATTTATTTTTGTAGGAAAATTAAAAATCGTTTCGTATCAAAAGCTGAGTATTTTCGTTTTAAAATTGAGGCTTCTCTGGTTAAATAGAAATACAATGTTTTAATTGACCATGAAACGTTCATACAGGCAGTATGTTCTTGAATAAGTATCTTATTTTTTTAAATAAAAAAATTTTTTTGACAGCACAAGAAACGCCTTCTTAATTTGGTCACAGGCGTAGTAGTGAGCGAATCATTCCTTGGTAAAAATCATGATCCTTTTTCCTTTGCGTGAATATAAGTTTTATACTCATTATTGTTAATACAAATGCAGGAAGATGGGTTCCAAATGCAGTATGATAATTATCAGCAGAAAGTTGATTCGGAAAGCTTTTCTTTAGCCTGATCACGGGTTGCGTTTGATATCTTAAAGAGTTGTTAGTAAATTCTGTTTAAATGGCCTCTTTCCTTATATCTCGTAAGCTAATTTTATCCGTGAAGTTGTTTCGATCGCTTCGACTAAGGTTAGTCACTGACGAAATGTAGATTTTCCTGACTCCCTCCCTGTGGCAAGTACTTGGCACAAATGGGAAAGGTCGTCTGATGACACGAATTATTCCAAGTTCATGAAGCGTTTGTTTAAATGGGTTTGTGCTCTAGTTTTGTACAAGTGGTCCAGATTTCTATATTTCTTTACGTTTGTACACCTTTCAAAAATGTAATATACTTTTAAGAATGAGAAAAAGATCGATTCGGTCAAGCAAGTTGCAGGCTCTGGCCCAAGCGCTAAGAGTTAAGGCGCTCTAAGCGCCTTTCGCTTTAACTACGCAATATAGGTATCTTTTAAGAAAAAAAAAAAAAAAAGAAACAAAAACAAAAAAATAACCCTCAAAGTTTTGAAACGCTAGGCTTTATATTACAATTAGAAAGGGGTGTAAAGCTCAACATCATATCTTATTGATTTTTTACTATTTGAATTTCTCTGTTCCACCGGTGTCATAATCTGAAATTCATTGATTTTGATAAACGTCGGGCTTTATGTTGCAATGAAAAGAGGAGAAACGTTCAAAATCATATTTAGTTGATTTTTAAGTATTTGATGATTACACTTACAACACCTTAAAATTGACTTAAAACAAGTTAGTTGTGTTTAAAGTGAATGAAATAAGACTGCACGTTTCAAAAAGTTGATTTCATTCTTCAACCACGTTTGCAGAACACTTAACCTTAAATTTCAAGAGTAATATATCTTACAGGGTAAGTTACGTTATGTAGAATATGATAAAAAAATGTTACAAGCCCGCGCGTAGATACGAATTTTTCAACAAGAGAAGATAAATTTCGTATCTCCATGTGGCCATGTAATATCCTCAATTAATTATATAAGCACCAATGAAAAACCAAACCCTTTCTCTTCTGCTGCGAAATGCGCAATTTATCATGTAACCATAGTAACAGTGTTATTTTCACGTGTGAAGATAAAATTTTATTTTCAAGTGCGAAGATATCACGTTTTGGCGCGAAAGCGCACCTTGTGCTAGTGTCTCATTGGTGTTTCTATAATAAATATAGTGTTATTTTTCTCTGTTCCTCTGGTGTCATTTCCAGTCGTTAGGTTTTAAAGTTTTATTGTTGACGCTTTTCCGTCGTCAACGTTTTGGAATCGAGCGTATACTACTTTCATGATAAATATTTGAAACCGAGGTTGAACCTAAAGAAAGGAGCTGTGCGATCAGGATCAATATGATTACTAGTTTCATTCATCGTCCTCGGTGGCAAGTAACTGATGCCGCTTTGAGGACTTCGAGTTTGAAACGTGGTCATCTCGCGATCTTCCTGGACGCCTGTGTGGGTGTTTATATAACTACCAGTGTTTAATTCAGAATGTACCCTATCTGATCGTTTAACACAAGAGACTAGCAAACGCTTTACCCCAGTTCGATAGTCGTTGTTAAATACAATGTATATGCATGGGTTCAATGCGCTTGAGGCATGGGAGAAAAAAACATGAACAAAGTACACATTTAGAGGTATTCCACATTCGTAATAGTTCGCAGCGAAGGTCGTTAAAAAGAACACGACGTGATACGGAAGCCAGCAAAGTGCAAAACAAAGAACGATTGCGATGAACATTTTTAATGCCTTTTTTCTGCTACGGGCGTAAAGTCGAGCAGTTGAGGTCAAGCGGTGTCCTGGAGCCCTCCTTCGCCAGATCTTGTAGATGACGCAACTGTATAAAGCTGATATTATTATTAATGGCAGAGCGTAGAAGAACACAAACAGAATTATTGTGTAATCCCCTGCTGCTTTTTCTTCGTCGAAAGGAGCTGGCCACTTTTCAATACAGAAAAGCTGTCCATGATCTTCTACGACAATGTTTGGTACTAGCGCTGGGGCACTTGAAATGGACGGAATCAACCAAGTGCTTATAATGATAACCTTAGCGAGTCTCCTCGTCATGATTCTCTTAAGAGGCAAGCATATGGCGAGGAACCTGTCCAATGCAATCGCCAGTAAGCTAAGAATAGAACAGAACGCGCAGACGAATTGACAGAAGGACAATATTTTACACAGAATGATTCCCGCGTCTCCTGTAATCAACCATTCATCCGAATCTCGTATCTCAACTGTCAGGGATTCTGGCATGTTAATCAACGTGGTGAGAAGATCGGCGATGGCCATGTTTACAACAAAGAGGAAAGCTACCTTCTGCATGCTCCGAGTGCGCCGAGTAACAGATATTATCAAGATATTTCCAATGAAGGACACCACTATCATCAGGACGTACATGGTAACCTTGGCCAAATATTCAGGCTTCGTTGCATCCTTTCCCAGAGGACAACCATTATCCGCGTAATATTCATATTCATCAGAAAAGGAGTCATTGGTTTGATTACTATTCTCAAAGCTCATGCTGTTTTGTGTTTATCGTTTCTCGCATTTGCTGAAAGAAGAGAATATGAAACAGAACAAAAGTTGTCAAAATTGAGTCTTATCCTGCGATTACCAAGTGCTACTTTGTGGGAAATTTTCGTTTGATGGCACCCAGGTTCTGGATAATCAGCAAGTTAGAAATTATATCATCGAGTTGGGAAAGGAATTCTGCTCGAAATTTCACATTTAAAACCTTTAGGTCGTGGATGGGACAAAACTAGTCGACTTTTCTGTGATTATTTCTGTCTTACGAATGGCTCGCATTTTCTTTGATATTAACGATTCTCCTAAATTTTTTCATCAGGATTTCATTATTTACCTGAGCGTGTCAAAGTGGCAAGCCCTATATAAACAACTAGTCAACTGTGGCTATGATAACAGCCTCTAAACGAACCTCTCCACACAGTGACATATCAACTGACTGTAATTTGCAGCTGCACGAAAGTCAGTAAAGCAGTACAAATGCTCCACGCGTACTTGCTTAGAGAGTTTAGTTACTTCTAAAGTTATCTTTGCTACCCTCAATCATTAACTGACTCAAATTCATTTGCCCACATTTTATATAGCTGTTCTCATTTTTGAACCAAAATGATTCACCCTCTTTTGACAAAGGTAGAGTTCTAGCTGGGCAACTGTTTTGCCAGCTGCCAATTCATAAAAAAGACCTCTCAAGACAGAAAATGATGGACATTTGCCTTTTTATCTCAATTTTTAATATTTTCCTAGGGTATGGCTTTTGAATGGCTGTAATCATAGCCCTAATGGCTCTATACGTTTCCTTTCTTTGCCCTGATGTATTCCAGAATGAAACGCATTTTACACTGACACTTTTTCGTTGATTGCTTGACCACAAATGCCCTATAACCATGAGACCACAGTCGTAAATACATTGCTTAACTGAGATACGAGCAAGTGGCTTGGATCCAAGTGTCTGTGTCAGGTTGGCATAACATGTAACGAATGAGCCATTAACTGTTAACTGTCAGCCGGCTTTTAAAACCATAGCGCAATTATTAGTTTGGGTATGTGTTTACTTGGCGTTTTGCATCATTTTGTTTCTTCACAAAAACGTTATTCTCAAAGCAATTAAAATGGAATTTTTTCACTTCTATTTGTCGCTGAAAAATACGGATTTACCGATTCGTCCTCCTTATGATAACATCCCTTTTAGAATTTGTGTATTGCGGCCGACGACATATTTTCATTTCTGTTGTTTTTATCGAAACTGACATCTTGGCAAGACAAGAAACAATAACACTATAGAAAGCTTGCCTCAAAAAACATAAGAAAGAAACACGGAAAATTGAGTTACACTCCGAATGTTAAAAATAGGCCTCTTTTCGAGATCCTTAAAAATAACGCCCCGGGGAAGTGAAAGCAGAACCTTTTTCGCGATTTGCACATATGTTTCGTGTGCTGGCCGGGTGACTATAACTTTGTATGAGGCACGAACTCGGCGGGAAATTAAAGTAATATAAATAATTATTCTGTAAGCTCTTGTGGCGTAGCAAGTTCAGTGTAATTTTCACTACCTACGTTACAACCCATTGTTTCTCAAATTACCTTGGCAGCACTTTCATCACTTGATCAATATCTTTAACTAGAAATATACTGAAGATGTAGACTGGGCTAACTATACAAACATCAAAAATTTGCATGCTAAAAAAACATTTCTTAAAATCCGGATTCAGGAGTGGAGGTGTTATTGTCCTTCATTGGATTTTCCAGAATCACTGAGACAGATTACAATTTTTCGTTAGGAAGAGGACTGAACAAAAACATGGCGCAGAAGAAAAGATTTTTTTCTTTAAAACAAAAGCTGAATGAAAATTATCTTACAATATCTTCTCAAAAGAACACTCACTTTTCACTCAAAGCTATCCATTGATTGATGTTTTCCCTTCAAGATGTTTCCAGTACAGTGCTCGAAGAGATTGCTGTATAAAGTCAACACCCAATTTATGTGTTCACTGCACGTGTCTTATTTCACAAATTTAAATTATTTAAGTATAGATACCGCAATTTACATAACGTGGTTTCATTTATTAGGCACCCAGCTTATTTTTGAAGATGTATTAACTTCCTTGCTGCGCCCAATGGCTAAGTATGCGATAGGCGTTATTCAGTTTAATTGTTTGGAAAAGAAATAAAATTGATTTGGCTCTGTAAGCCACGAACTGTTTTGTCGATTCGAACCGTCGGCGCTAAAGGGAACTAGCGGTGACGCGAACGAAAAACTACGTACACTTTGATGTATCTTGAGTGTGAATCTCCTTCAGAATTTGCAAGTTGCCCAAGATGAAAAACGATTAGATTAACACCGACAAAACAACAATGGTATTTCCTCCAATACGTTCGCACAAAGATATTTTTTAAGCGTTTGAATGATGTTTAATAATGGCTTTCATAACGACTTGATTCTACATGTATTCCATTCAGAAATTAAAAATAGCCGGAAACAAAACGGAACGACCTTGAAATGTTTTAGGCAATCAAAATGAAGTTCACTTTTTGTTCTCTATTGCAGATGCGATGAAGCAAACTGTCCGCTTGTTGAACTCTTTCTCAGTGCAAACTGTTGGCACGGCATTACTATGTTTGTGAACGATTTTTTTTGTCGGTGTGATATCTGAATTTTCTTTCTCGTGCACTGATGCGCTTCTGAATTTATTTGAGTCAATTGGCTGCTGTGATTCTCCATTTGTTTACGCTATATTCTAGCATGGCGCTTTCCGACGGCGCTGGTGTAGGTTACCAAACAAAGAGTTCTGGGTTTTCATTGATTGCCTGAGAAAAGGAACTTTTGACAACAGCTTGATTTTAATCTTTTTTTAAAGCCATAATCTGCCAAATGGGCTTGGGAGAATTTCAGTTGAATTAATTTGACTGGGTATCAAAAGCATTAAGCCATCATCAGCTAGTCATACTGTCTTTGTGTGATGTGACTCCTTTCCACCCGCAGTAAGAAGTAAAGAAAATATGCAGATGATAATCACGCTAATCTAAAATTGTTACTCAACATTATTTAAGCATCGTATCTCACTGCAATCATTCAAAATCATTTTTTTATCATCCCTCCAGGCAAAAGAATAATCATGTCATTTTGTTCATGGCGGAGAAAAATTCTAAAGTACGCATTAGCATTTCAGTTGCAAGTTTATGAAAAAAACATAGAGATCTATCCATTCAAGAGCCTTTCCCGTCTTAAACTCTTTGTTTTAGTCCTTTTTCATTAAAAACGCCACTTTTCAGTTCTATAGATTATTTTTTATTGTGTGGACTCTTATGCTGATTAATTCTTCAGTAACGCGGTATCTCTGTTGTACTCACCGTAAGGGAAACCTTCAGCAATAAATTTCTGCTTTCTCGCTTTTATTCAAGATTCTCCCCTAGCGGCAATTCTGTTTACGGTTAGACGATGATTAAAACCAAAAAAAAATTTAAAATAAAAATAGATGGAAAAGAAAAGATTGAACTTAACGAATACCACTTACATTTGTGGCAAGAGTTCCCTATAACCCCATACATTAATTGTGCATAGAGTATTGTAAAGAAACCTTTATAGTTAGTCTTTATGAAATGAATGCATAATTAATGTATGGGGTTATATGGAACTCTTTCCACATTTGTTCCTGAGTCTACTTGAAGCTGCACTGAGTTTGAACTGCGATCTGCGGGAACGATCTGATGCCTTCAACGAATGAAACAAACTAACTGAGAAACAACTTCTATCAAATGAAACAATAAAAGGTTTGAATACTAATACAAAAAAATGTACACAACATTTTTGTACTGAAGCATTCTACACAAGCGACATAAAACCATGATAAGATTCTTAACCGAAATAGCGCACAAAAGGAAAAACAACCTAACTTAACTTTATGTAAGGAGGGAAGCGCAATAACCTATTACAGCCGTTTTCTAACCTGCGGCTCTCACACCCACCCACCCCACACCAGGGGAGGACATCCACCACACAGTTATCTCGTGCGTGGGAAATTATCGTCTCCTACCCCTAACCCTGCAGGAGACGGGACCTACGGTTTATTCGTCCTTATCCGAGAAGACCAGAATATCTATCCATTTCTTGATATTATAGAAAGGTAGCACATTATCATCAGTTATTTGAAGAAGCTGAGTGTTGGTCCGGCCGGAGCTTGAACCCTCCACGTCCCGCAGAACAGTTCGGCGCTCTACCAAATGAGTTAACCAGGAGGCGGTTAAAACAAAACAAGACCAAAGGCGTTAATGAACTTTTGTTTGGATCTTGCATAATTATATCAATCGCGATAAATAACTTAAGACTTCAAGGCCCCCTCAATAACTTCAACGGAGAACTACAAAGAATTTTAAAGACAAGAAATTACCAAACCAAAAGAAAAAAATTCAGTAAGAAACACCTGGTAACAGCGGGTGAAACAATTAAGAAAGCAACCACGGATATTAAATCTTTGACCCCGGCAAGACTGACTAGCATCTAATGTTTCTTTACAACATCACCCCTCATACGGTATCACACATCAAGGTCGTGAGGATAGCGGAAATAATCACCAAATAAAAAATTTGTTGATTGTTAAACAAATTCTTACTGTCGGCAATTTAGGAAAGGTATAAAGAACAGCGTGCGTATAGAGATCTTTAGTGCGAACAGTTCTAGTGTCGTCTAATTCGAGTTATGGTAAATTGCAGAATGACAACAAGCTTAACTCTTTGGTCTTATAATATAATATAAGTGGCCAATTAATATAATTGGCCACTTATTCAGCTGTTTTGAGCCTCTCTCTTTTTGTTTTCCTCTGTTATGGTTGACTATTGTTCGAGAAACATTTGATTACACTGAAATTGAAGACAGAGTAGGTGCATTTCGCTTATCATGTCACAGTTTGTCGTCCAACATGCCTAATGGGAAAATCGTGCTGTGGATCATGTTGTGTGCCATTCTAGAAAGTGCCCTGACGACAACTTTTAAATGGTAGATTTTATCCGATAATATAAAATCTATGGTGGAATTATTCTAAATTAAAATATTACATGGCGAAGTCGGAACTTTAGCTAGTGTTCGTAGTGCATGTTAAGCCTACTCGCCGTTGAAATTTTTGTGTTCAGTTTTATCTTACCTTCTTGGTTTTATTGAAGGACAAAACAGATGAAGAGAAATAATATCTAAGGACACACATACTTGTTTCAAAGAAGAGCGAACGCTCGCTAAAAGCTACAGCTTTCAATTAAGCTCCTCGAGACGGAAAAGAAAACTTTAATTCTTCTCACCCGCCGACGCAGCCTAATGTTTTCTTTGAGAGTAAAGGATGGAATCAGGTTTTGGATATATCAACGAAGTTGAAATGGTAAATTGGCCACCGTAACGACTACAAAAGCTGACGTTTCGAGCGTTAGCCCTTCGTCGGAGCGAATAGAGGAATTGTGGGTTGTGTGTGCTTTTAAAGGCAAACAATGGAGCTACGTTATTGGTGGGAACATGGCAACGAGAAAAACAAGAGTAAATTAGTGGAATGAAAAGCGTTCGTTGATCCCTGTGGGATTTAGACTGCCGTTTTGAAAGATGAGCTTTTGTTCAAGATTTTTACGGCTTTCCGTGCTACCTAAGTGTAAGGAAAGACCGCAGATTGCCATATGTTGCTTAGAATGATTAGGTAAATTAAAATGTCTAGCGATTGGTTTCGATGTGTCCTTGTCATTCCTTTCCACGTCTCGAAGGTGTTCTCGGAATCGGTCACCTAGTCTTCTGCCTGTTTCGCCGATGAATATCTTTTTGCAATAAGTGCAAGTTATGCAATAGATTACATTGGCGGAGGTGCACGTGAAGTGATCGGCGATCTTAATGGATCGTTTAGGTCACGATATTTTATCAGTGTTGTGAATCAGGTCTTGGTTACATCTCAGGATAAATCGCAGCTCTTAGCAATTCACCATTTGTCCTTGAGCTTGACGTTATACAAATACCCTTACTGAAAGAGTTTCTTTCTTCAAAATCTGTTAATTTATAATAATGGTTAGGTTGGAGAGGAAATATTACTCCATTATTGTCTCTTGTGTAAATATATGGTAAGGATTGACTGAGATTACTTTTCATGAAAATGAGAAGAAAACGTCTCATTATTTTCTTTTGTGTAAATACACTGTAAACCTCTTACCTGCGGTGAGTGGAAAAAGTATTTCTTTGAAGATGCTTCACTCTGGCGGAGATAACCACGATAAGATAGAGGAGGTGTTACGAAATGCCATTTGGTTGATAAACGAGAAGGAATTCCTTCTTTTGTCAAATTGCCATGAACAGACGTGGTAAACTGGGGATCAAGTTTGTTCACCTGTGGTTGGACTAATGGATCTTTTGAAACAACAATTGGCTTTTAACATTTTAAGTGTAAAAATGACAGGTTTTTGTTTCTATCATCCAGCATTGTTCACTCCAAACCTGTAACCTTATTCTGAGATTTAGAAAGAAATAGTATTCTCTTGAATAAATTCAGTTAAGATATACGCAGCTTTTGTCTTGTTTGTTTTTTTATATAGATATATTATGAATGTATGAAACTATGCCGCCAAAAAATAATAACGATAAAGTTCAGGTTATAACATTGGAACGGAAATTGTTTTCAGCTTTGCATATGTTGACACGAGTGTGATGATCAGAAAATAAACGTTTTTAGTACGTCTTAAATTTCGTTTAAGTAATGTTTGGATGAACCAAAATAGTTTTCAAGAATTGATCACAATTGAACTACATGACTTACTTATAAAATCAGGCACTTCCTCAGTAATTCTGTAAACGCCTTACGTATGCTGAGATATTACCGTATAACATAAGTAGGAATAAATCGTATCTGCTCGAGCGTGGAAACTGATGGTTCAGTGGTGAAAGAGAATTATTCCAGAATTCCATGTCCTCTAAACACTCATTTAACTGTTGTAGGAAGTACCTGTTTTCTTGATTCGAAGATGTACCCTTGATAGTCTTCTAAAGACCATGTAAGAACTCAGGAACCTTTCATTTTCCCTCTTTACCAACGGAACATTTGAGCATGAAAAAATGCAAAAATAAACCTCATTTGAATAAAGCAGTCGAAATTAATGCAACATATTTTATTAATTCCTTTTCTTTTCTTTTTCATGTTGTGAAAATAATACCCCACTGCCTCATGTCAAATAGCCAAATAACTTATAGAATCGCATAACTGAATAAAAATAAGAAAACAAGAAATTAAAACGGCAATGTTATTGTTTGTTTTTATTCCGTACGCGCGCCCTTAAGAGAGCCATTTTAAAGTCAACTGTCAAAACTGTCATTAATTGTTAAGGGATTGGAAAGCAAGTTAAGTCGCTCACGTTTGAACCGTCGACAATTTTAATTGTACCTCGTGAATTTTTCTTGAATCACATAGCTAAAGCCACCAAATCACTGGGCGAAACCAGATGTTTGCCAGTGCGCAAACAATGGAAACCCTTTCAAAGTCAGGTGTCAATATCTAGCGAATAGAGGGAACAAGATATTTTTAGAATGAAAACCACTTTTATTTCAAACTCGTGGAGAAAGCGGTGCCTCACATTTTACAATCTTCAGCAAAAAAACTAAAAGTACACAATACGGAGTTATTTAAGACAGAGATTTGCCTGCTACCACTCAACTTGGCA